AAAGGTGAAGAAATTTTTCTGTAGGGGTTAAGGGGGGGCAAGTGAATTATACCAGTTCTGGACTCAGGTTGTGTGATGTCAAACCCAAGAGTTTTCCAGTCACCCAGAGAAATTACAAGCCTCCCCCTGATCCTCTGAAAGTCTCAGTTCTACAAGGGAAGGCTTCCTGAAAGAGCTGTCCCTTGTAACTCAGCAAAAGGCAGACAGTAGGGGCAGGTCAGGCTCCACGAAACAAACATTCACTGTTGTTAGGAAAAAAGGGACAAGCCAAGCAGAGTTGCTTTTGGTCCAGTAATAGCTGAAAACAACTGATGAGCGCATGTAAAAAGGTCAATGACCCTACTGTTTAGGCGGTGTGGCAAAAGACACTTGTGAATTTTAAAACATTTCAGCTGAGGCCTGTGAATATGGGAAAAGACAGCTGGGAAGTGAGGATCTTTCCTATGACCTGGATTGCAGAGGGAAAGAGAGGAGGGACATAAATAATTTTGATACTTCCTTTTCTGGTCACCTGCTTATCACAAAAGCTTAGCACTTCAGTTCACTGCTATCCATATACCTTTTCTCTCAGAATACTTACTCAATCAGACAAAAGAAATCATTCTGTGATAGAATTTCTACTGTATATAGAGATCAAAAAAGCCCCAAGAGAACTATGAATAATCTCAAAGCTAAGATTGAGGTTCAATGCCTCAGAAAAGATTGTCCACTAGAAAACTTTTTCTTCAAAAAGTATCTCAGGACCAATGTGTAGAATCTGAGAATTTTATTAAGAATTCTATTCAAGGAAGCACCCACAGAAAAGTACATTTTTCTCCCTCTCACTACATCCATGGAAAGTAACAAATGAACCTTGAGCTCCTGCAGAATATAGTTATTTAATTATTGATATCATATTTTTTCACTCTCATAGGTGCAAACAGACCTAGGCACAGTACTCTACAAATCTTCATGACACTTAATCATGAACTTTTCCAAAGGGCTTGTGGCTTGCTCTCATGTCTCTAAGCCATTTGTCTAGTTGGAGTTTTAGAAAACTACTAGAACTATTTCTACTGCATTTGCATTGGGATGCTAAAAGATTTTCAGGGGCCAAATGTGCTTGTGATTTATTCTTTTCCTACAATAGTATTTAATCAGGGGGCTGGAGATTTAGCTCAGCGGCATAAGCACCTGCCTTGCAAGCAGGCGGTCCTGAGTTCGATCCCCGGGACCGATAAAAAGGAAAAAGAAAAAAAAAAATAGTATTTAATCAGCTTTGTTGTCACTCTGACGGCCTCTTCCTGACAGGCAGTCCAAGTCCTAACTACATAGATGGGCAGGGAAAGCTTCTACTTGGGTTTTTCAAGGCTCACATTCAACAGTAAATGTAACCAAATCTAAACTGTATTGTGCAATGAAAATGAATAAAAATAAAGTAAAAATTTTCCCCAAAACCACACTTGCACACTTTATTTTTTGTTTTGTTTTGGTTTTTTGGTGGAAGGTCACATCCTTAAAAAAAACTTCTAAATTTTTAAGGCATTAGAGGCAAATCATTTCCCCAATGCTATTTTTTAAAAAAGGATGGATGCTAAAAACAGCAAGGATAGTAATACATTCTATTTGGTGATTTTCCCCCCTCCTTTCCTCCCACTCCACCTCTGTGAACCATCTGTGGTAGATTAGATTATTCAGCAAATATCTACTTCCTCCCCCAGCATCCCCAAGAGAAGACTACACAGTCAGCCTTCTATATCCTTGAGTTAGGCATCCTTAGATGCAGTCAAGATAAAAAACATTTAGGGGCTGAAAATATTTGGGGGAAAAAAAGAATTGCCTGTACTGAACATGTACACTTTTCATTTATTCCCTAAATGATACAGTATAATTATATAGCATTTGGACTGTATTACATACAATCTAAAGATGATTTGACTGTTATTGTTTTATTTTTTCATAGAAGAGTGCTTTTTATGTTGTCTTTATTAATGCCTACTGGTATTTAATTTAAAAAAAATTTTTTTAAATGGGTAAATGATCCACAAGAAAAAAAAATTCAGAAGGACATGTGTAGGTTTCATGTAAACACTACATTTTATGTACACTTGAGCACTCTCAGATGTTATGGAACCAATGTCCTGAAGACACCAAGGGATTACCATACTTTTCTCCAGTGATGTTGGGATTCCCCTTGCAACTTGCTGGGCCTCATGCAAGACACACTCCACTACCCCTTCTAACCCTTGGTCAATGTGATCTTAGCAGACTTGGAATAGGCAGACACTTGAACTATGCTTGTACAGCTGGCTTTGCTTTCTTGTACTTCTGTTGTTTTGAGAAGAGCTTACCTTGTGTGAGAAGAGCTCTACTCTCTCAGTCTGAGCCCCAGAATAAAATATGCAAATGAAAACACTCCTTGCTGATCTACATACCTACACCTTGAAGCAGAGCTCCAAACTGCATTTGGGGGAGATGTGCTATGCAGTGTTGCTGTAGCAACTTGTTTTAAAATAATGGTAATGTTGGCTCAGAAGATGCAATGAAGATGAACTAAGGTAACCCCAGAATCACCTGTCTGCAGCTCTTAGGACTCAATTTTTTGAATATAATATAATGTAAATATCATGTTATACAGAGCTTCCACTGGGTCTCAGGCTCACAAAATGAAACACATTACGTCTACGAGTGAAGTAAGTCCATATACAAGTTCATGTTAGATTCCTGTCAAATTACTGATGAAACACTTTATAGTTTGGGGATTTTGGGATTTTATAATTGTGGATATGTGACAGTGGTCCTGTACTTCAACTTTTTCTCTCTCTTGCTATAGTGCCCAGACTGGCTTCAAACTGAGCTCAAGCGATGTTCCTGCTTCAATTTCCCAAGTAGCTGGAATTTTAGGCACAGTCACCACACCTAATTTAAATCCTCAATTGTAAAGACTTGTTCCCAAAAAATTATTTTATTTCAGTAATTTTGTAATGAAAGTACAATAACGTCGAGTAATTGTCTCAAACCCTCTGTAGACAGAATAACTAATTTTTAATGAAAAAATGGTTACTCACATTTAATTAACTTGTCTTTTTTTTTTTGGACACAGAATCTAAGTAGTTCAGATTGGCCTTAAACTCATTAGGTAGTTCAGGCTGCTCTCCAAGTCACAGCCTGCCTTCAATTCTCCTGCCTCAGCCTCCCATGTGCTGAGATTACAGGCGTGTATCACCACACCCAGCTGCTCTGGATCAATTTTAAACAAGGAAGTGTATAAGACATTGTGAAACCAAATATTAATACTCTTTAATCAGTAAACACTCACTGAGTTTCTTCCACATAATCAGACATAGTGATAGATGCTGGGGGATACTATGAAATCTTATATACTTCTGTTTACATGAGAAGTTTACTACCTAGAGAGGAAGACAAGTAAATTTTTATTCTATTTCATTATTTATTTATTTATTATTTTATCTTTTTGAGACAGGGCCTCCCGATGCAGTTCAGGCTGGCCTTGAGCTCACTTTGCTGCTCAGGCTGCTTCAGCCTCTGAGTGCTGGGATTACATGCATGTGCCACCACGCTTGTTGACAAGTAAATTTTTAGACTGAGTAAATTTTTAAATTAGCTGCATGTTGAAATAAAAACGCTCGCTATATCGGGTTAAATATTTAAATTACTGTCACCTGTTTCTTGTTATCTTCGAAAAATGTTGATCAGAAAATTTAAAATTAACGTTTGGGGCTGCAGGTGTAGCTCAGTGGTAGTGCTTGTCTAGAGTGTATGAGGCCCTGGGTTTAATCCCCAGTATCGCAAATAATATGTAATAGAAGCATCTGTGGCTCACAACATATTTGTACTGCAGTGTTTTTTTCTAAATGTTCAGTTCTTTCTGTTACACTAGGCCTAACATTCAAAATCTTTGGCAACCTTTTCCTTCCTAAAACATCTCTCCCTTTCTCTGCTTTTGTGACAACTTCACTTTGTGGCTCTCCTCCTCCTACCATTCTCCTCAGCTGCCCCCTTGTTCTCCCCATGGCCTCTCAGTCCTCTTCCTCTTAGGTAAAGCCTCCACTGCTCCAACATCAACTGCTAAGTCTATCTAAATGACTAATGTTTTCAGCTCCAGTCTTGGCACTGAGCATTTTCACCGCTGACACTTCAAAAGTGATACTTCCAAAGCACTACTTCTTTCTCTTTATTCTTTCTTATTTCTGAGACAACGTTTTCTATTCTCTAAACTTAAATACTCCTGCTCAACAGTACTTTATTCTTTGCTCCTCAACTGACTGCCATGTCCTGTTCACATTTCTCTACGTATGCTTCTATCAACACCCCAAAACTCATTGTATCTCACCTTAATTATGTAAAATTCACCACAATTCTCTTGTCTATTCCAGCCTCCGCTACCAGACTAATGTAGCCAAAAACAAAACTCTGGTCCCAAAAGAACCACACATTTGAAAAGGATAAGAGGAAGAAAAGGCAAATACTTAAAACAGCGATGCACGGGCCACGTACACACCGCGACTGCCGGGATCAATGAAAACCGCACCAGACGCTTTTTCCGCATGCGATGAGAGACAGGAGGGAAATTAGCCCAGAGTGACACTCACTACTGGACAAGGACACACTAGGGCACGAGCCGCGGCGTTGCACCAGTTCCTCAAGCAGACCCGGCCCAGGTCACTTCCTCTCTCTCCAGCTCCATTAGTCGCGAAAGTCAGCCCGAGCCCTGAGAAGCACCTGCGCCCTGAGAAGTCGGGAAGCCAGTACTTCCCGACCACCGCTCCGAGGGGACGCTTCGCTGGAACCGCGCGCCGAACCCCGGCAGACAAACTGGCAGCCCCTCCTCGTTTTCCATGCCGGGTTCCTCGGTCTCAACCCGGCCGCGCCCCGCCCCTCATCATCGAGGACACCGGCTTTGGCCAGAGGCGACAAAGGGCCAGGGCCTGCCTGCAGCTGCCACTGCCCACATCAGAGCAGAGACGCCTTCCTTTCTCCCCAGACTCTCGATCACGCACCTTCTCTCTCCCCGCCGGTACCCGCTCACAGCACAGCTCCAGTCCCCAGCACTGCTGTTTTGTTTCCGATGTGAAATCTCAGCCCCTTGAGCTGCCCGTCCCAGGACCCGCCCTAGAAGCCTCATCGGTGTCGTCACTTCCGGCCCTGGCACCGTTGGCGGCTGCCCCACAGAGGGCGGAGCTTCCGGCTGAGAGCGTAGACCGTGGAGTGGGTGAAATGCACTAGCTCGTCTGGTGCAACCGGTTCAACTTGCGGGCGCGGGTCTCGGGCTGTCAGGCATCCAAGGCCGCTGTAGAGCTGAGGACGAAAATTCCCACGTTCGCTGCACCAGTGTGCGCTTCTCCCAGCGTAAGAGTAATTGTAAACCTTAAATGTAACATCCCTCATTTCACTGTAGCACCTACTTGTAGTTTGTTGACGCGCGAATCACAAGAACGTTAATTAAAATTGTATATACGTGTCCTTCCCTTAAATCAAAACTTCTGGTGGATGAATAACTTGAAAAGCTGCGTCTTTACCAGCTTCTTGGGTTCTAGGACTCCAAGTTTGGGAGCCAGTCTGTATAGTAAACTTTAGAAAGGCTGAAAATGTGTCTCTTCTTTGTTATTCCCAAACTTAACATTTGATTCACAGTGAATTGTTCATTTCTGCATCTACCAGCTTTTATCCAACTGTATAGGCACTACCTACAACTAATTCATTAAGCAGCTCACCAGTCACCTGAAAGCTAGAAGAAAATTAATACCACGTTACATCAAAGTTTTAAAAAATAAGTGTTCAGGGGCTGGGGATTTAGCTCAGCGACATAAGTGCCTGCCTTGCAAGAAGGCAGTCGCGAGTTCGATCGCCGGAACAGATAAAAAGGAAAAAGACAAAAAAAAAAAAAAAAAAAAAGTGTTCAAATTTACAGGTAATCAGAAAACTAAAAATGAAAATTGATGGTATTTGGGCAGATTACATTTTCCTAAAATTCTTTACTTTCCCAGGCTCCCTCTTTCATACTCCAGAACACCAATCACAAATCCCTCTCTTCTGCCAGTCTGCTTCCAATACTGTATCAACTTATTTCAATAGCTCTTACACTAAATAGCTTTACACTAAAAAATACTAGGGGGCAAGGGCCTTGACCAACCAAACCAAAAACTATCCTTTAAATATTCTTGTTCAGGTGTGGTGGTACACACCTGGGATCCTAGCACTTGTGAGGCTAAGGCAGGATTGCAGCGAGCTGGAGGCCAGTCCCAGCTATGCATAGTTCGTGGGTCAGTCTGAACTATATAGTCAGACTCTCTCAAAAAACAAAATTCCCTCATCTCTTTAACCTCTCCACTTTCATGAATAGGGCGTTTTGTTCCTTTGCTAATTATATATTACAAATGTTGAGAACAGTACGTAACAGGCTGGGGATTTAGCTCAGAGGTGTAAGCACCTGACTTGAAAGCCTGTGGTCATGAGTTCAATCCCTGGTACCGGTAAAAATGAAAAAAAAAAAAAAAAAAAGAGAACAGTATCTAGCACATGGAAATAATCGTATATTCTACTCAACAAGCATAGGCTAAAATGCATCTATTTGGTTAACTAGTTCAACATTTGCTTTCAACTGTTAATATGATTATCTTTTTTTTCCTTTTTATTGGTACGGGGGATCGAACTCATGACTGCCTGCTTGCAAGGCAGGGGCTGAGCTAAATCCCCAGCCCCAATATGATGATTATCTTAAAATGCTGTAAACTTATGTGAGGAATGGTGACACAAGCCTATAATCCTAGCACTTGGGAGACTAAGGCAGGATTCTCAGTTCAAGACTAGCCTGGACTACATAGGGAGACCTGGTTTAAAAAAAGTTGTAAGCTACTCTCAGAAACCATCTCAATACAAAAAGCCTTGTGTAAAGATATCCAGAGTATTCACATGGCAAAAATTGGAAAGCTAAATGTCTCAAATGATTCACTCATTTAATCTCATTAAAATTGTTATATGCAAGAGAAATTTTTATTCTGTAAAAAGTTGTATTTACAGTTAATGGCAAACATCCTTGCAAAATGGAAAAGTGTTAGGATAAAAAGCAGCAAAGTGACTTTGAATAACTAGATTACAGATACTTTCCAGTTTTCTATATTTTATCTTTTTAGCTATATGAACAGTGAAGATATACTGAGGCAAGAAGAGTCACCAAAAAGCACTAGGAAAGAGCCATGCATGGTGGCACACACCTGTAGTCCCAGCACTCAGGAGGCTGACGCAGGAATATTGCTGCAAGTTGAAGACCAGCCTCGGCTACAAAGTGAGGAGCTTGAGACCAGCTTGAACTGCATAATGAGTTCCTGTCTCAAAAATACTGGGGGGGGGGGGGGGGGCAACGACACTAGAAAAGACAGACTAACAAGAATGTGGCAAATAAAATCCTAAACACCCGTTAAGAATTCCAAATAGACAGCAAATATCAACAGTACTAAGATGAACTGGTATGTACTACTTAAAAAGTCCGTCTCATTCCCGTTATCACTGCCATCAGTGGGACAGTGCAGTACAAAAGAGTGAATAAGACATTGGATGGTACATTAAGATACTCATTCTGGCATCTCAGTGTAGCAGAAAGGAGACAGGATCCAATATAAGTTTACATGCTGCTCTTTAAAACACATTCCAATTGAAGGAATAAAAAAGACAGTATCGGAGTAAGGGTTAAGAAATTTTACAATTAGGCTAGGTGTGCTGATGCATACCTGTAATCTCAGCATGTAGAAGACTGAGGCAGGAGGCTCACTCCAAGTTTCAGGCCAGCCTGGGCTACAGAGTGAATTCAAGGACAGCCTGAAATGCATGGTAAAACTTTACAGATAGATCAAGCTTAGGGGAAAAAAAAGTGTGGTAAAAGTCTTTCTGGATAGGATGCATGGAGTCTCCACTTCCAAGAGGGAGAGGTTTATAATAAATAGGCTGTCAAACTAAACAGACAGAACTGCAGAGAACATGCCTAATAAACTTTGTGAAGATTTTGTGAAGCTTGAGGGTTATTTACTAGGTGATGAGAATGGGGAAAAAGTGTATCAAATGACTTTTAGTCATTCAGTTATTTTTTTCCAAAACCCACGACAGCACTGAGATTAACAGTGAAAGTTACACTGTCGAAGAAAAATGACCAGATACCGTGAAAGTCCTAGATTCTCTGCAATTGCACATTTGGAAACAGGAAGAAAGATGACTAAACAAAATAAAAATGGCAGAACTGACCAAAGTGGTGAAAGATGAAATAAAAAACCTGGGCATGGTGACACATACATAACCTCAGCTCTTGGGCAGTTACAACAGGAGGATTGCCTCGAGTTCACCGAATTCAAGGCCAGCCTCAGCTACATAGTGAGATCCCATCTCGAAATTTTAAAAGAAGTAAAAATTAAGAGTGTTGGACCTGAAAGAACTACTAAGAGCCTGATAAGAGACATAAAGCTGGAACCAATCACTATTGAATAAATCAGAACTTAGGACCTAGGCAATTAGAAAACAATGGCCAAAGTCTTTATACCAGATTTCAACATAGTACATTTCAATAACATTTTCAGAGCAAAGTAATCTGCCAGGAATACGCAACTATGTACTCATTTTCATAGGGTTCTGTGCTTGGCCACATCCTATCTTTCAGCTCTAGGATTTCAATTAACTGCAAGCACTGTTTACCACAGACTTGCTTAAGATCAGGAACTGCTTTTTTTTTTTTTTTTAGGGACTGCTTTCTTAATCATCCTGTTTTTCTAGCCTTAGGTTTTGAGTATCTGTCACTGTTTCACTGTATCTAGTTTCTTTTTACTAGAACTTGGACTCTCCTATTTAGAAATTTACCTTAATAACATACTTTTTAAATTTCAGTATCTATACTTTCCCACCCACCGTGACAGTCAAGTCTCTTCACCTATTTGTCTACCAAACCAATAAAACTGACAGAGTGAACCTTCAGTTTTGAAGGGCTCTACAACATGAAGTGTTCACTAATTTTTCCTCTGGTAGTCACTAGTTATATAGTAACTGCACACACACCATGCAAATAGTGCAACCAAACACTGGATATTTTATACGTTTTTGAACACTGAAACTACTACTGGCGTAACAAGCTACAGGAACCGACTTTAAAATTTTCATTATGAAATTACAATACTACAAGTAGTAAATACTACTTGAGAAAGCAGTGTTAGAACATGAATCATTAGACCATAAATCAGAATTTCAATTACAGGTCTCTCAATAACCATCTATAGGGAACTCTGCGGTTACTGCATTGGGCAGAATGGACCAGGCTGTGTCTCAGGTCTTTTCTACTATCCTACACTTGCTGCAAATGTTCCTACTGTCCTTTTCCCCTAGCCTATGAACTCAGCTAATCAAATTTGGTAATTCAGAGAACTTTGTACACAGATAGTGGTACTTCAGTATTCCTTGTTTTCTGGCAATTCCTAAATGATCACTAAGAGATTATGTGCCCCTTCGACTTAGTTTGCAACACAAATAGCACGTAAGTACTATACTGTAAAATAAATGTTCACTAGATGAAAATAATACATAAAAATAGCTAACTGTAAGAGCAATTTTAAACTGGGTATGGTGGTGCACACCTATAATCCCAACATTTGGGAGGCTGAGGCATTGAGGATCATTGCAAATTCAAGACCAGCCAGGACTACAAAGTGTGCTCAAGACCTGCCTGAAATACATGGTGAGACCATAAGCAATCTGAGTAAAGCTCTCAAATTCTTGTTCCTTCAATTTTTTAGGTAATGTATGAATTTCATGAAAAACTAAAAAACCTGCACCTTTACCATAAATGGGATAATTCAGTCTCACTTTTATCTAAGAGAATCTAAAAGTCATCAATCATAATATGTAATGTAGCACAGTAGACAAAATCTAGAGTGTCATTTAATTCAAACAACATGGCTTGAAAAAAACTTTTATTCATTTTTGTTTATAGAAATTATTGCCTTTTCCTGGGCATTTTAGACTGCAATTCCTAATTTGGCTTTTATGACTCAAGTAATAAAATGAAATGCAAATCAGCAAACATAAATATTTCAATTTACAATAATCACATTTCCAAAAAAATCAACCAGTTTATCAAAAAATTATAAGCTCACTTTGGTCTATAGTATGAATGTAGTATTTATAGCTCTTGGGTTTAATGAGTTTCCTTGACACCCAGACTAGTGGTTTTATTTTTTGGTCTGTTTGGATACTTCTTCTTATACTATTCCCAGTGATATTCATAAATCAGTTTCATCTTTTGCTAAGCAAAGCTATTTCTCAACTTCATACCGTTAACAGAAAGTTGAAATATAACCTAGAAAAACCTGAAACCATTTTAACCTAAAATCTTGCATCAGTACTAGGGTATTAATTGGGGACAATCACAGAACTAGTAATTACTATCAAGAGGTGGTTAAGTAAGATGTCTATAAATAGTATATACCTGCTTAATTTATAAACATTTTTTCATACATAAAAAAGTGATAGTGTTCAGTACAATTTGGCTCTCAAGCTCACAAAATTTTCGTCTGCCAGAGCTAGTAATGATGCTTAATACTTGAAACAGCACTACATACTATTAGTTTTATAGGGAAGCACTATGAAAAAAATCTTATAAAGGGAACATCTCCACGGGCCAGCCAAGATAAACCTTAGAATATTAGAGTGGTTCTCAGGTATCAGTTTAGATTTCTTTATGTTCATTAGTAGATTCAAGTATGTAATATTTGCTTTATAAGGTTTTATTTAAATATACTTACAAAGAAAAATAAATTGCATTTGTGTTGTCTGTTAGGATAGGGTAAACACTGAGTAGTTAACTCAAAGTATTAACCAGCTGGCCCCTTAACTACCAGGGATAATACCAAGCCCAGACACCTAGTCAGGGTTCAAGTAACTCAACTACACATTAAAGTTCGAGAAAAACTACCTCAAACTTTTCACTTACCATTCATCCTTTGTGCACAGATGAATATACCCAAAATAATTTTTAGGGCCAAAAGGAAAAAACAAAAACAAAATAATGTTCTTATTAACTGAACAAAAATATTAAGACTCGGAGCCAGGAATTTAGCTCAGTGGTGTAAGTGCCTACCCGGCAAGTGTGAGGTCGAGTTCAATCCCCAGTACCAAAAATAAAAAAATTAAAAAATAAAAAGTTAAAAGACTTTCATGTACTTTTATTACAACTTCAATGGACAGTATGGATTAATGTAAGGTTTCCAAGCTAAAATTAATTATACACTTATAGTGAAGACAGTTCCAGAAATTAGAAATATTTTAGGCCTATTTTCATAGACATTAGAATGTATCGCTTTACACATGTCCAATTCTTTATATGTAATTGTGAAAGATAAACTAAAGGTTTTATATGAAGTGTGATGGTAAAATTTGATTTGAACTACCATTTGGCTATTAACTTAGTGGTTTTTAATTCACTTACCATGGCCATTCTTACTTGGGTAAAGTACATTGATTATGAATTTTGTATTGCTCCCATAAACCTCACTGGAGGTGTTCTCCAGTATAAAAGGTATCTACTCCTAAGGACTTCAGGTAAGTGACATCTCTAATTTTCAGAGAGGCACTTTAAGATAAGCATTAATGAAAGACCCAGAGAAGACACCAGTAAGATAAACTAAATCTGTATGTTCAAACCTTCACGCTAATATTGACTAAACAAAAAGAACCTAAAATGGTAACTCAGAAGCAACAACTACACAGAAAGCTAAGATAGGAAGGCAAAATAAACTGCTTCAAAAAAAGTCTCAGGCTGAGTGGGGATGAATCTAAGCATAGTAAGCAAATGTGCAAATGGCAAAGGACATCTTTCTCAAATATTCCCTTGAGATATCAAAATCTGGAATATTTTAACATTACATAGTTATTTTCATAGATGTACAGTAGATTCATCCAATACAAGATAAATAAGTGGCCTCTTTGATCTTCTGACACTGTCATAAAAATCAAGTCCACTAAAATATTAAGCCCGTATTTTCAAGCTATTTTCTAGTAAGCACTAAAGAATTACAATGTGATGCCATTTATTTACAAGACTGAAAGAATTTTGAGTTTTCCAAGATCAAATATATACACTTTTAATATGTGAAATATTTACATAATGGAACCATACCATGGTTCAGTGTTAAGAACAGTGTTTTCAAATGTCCTCTTAAGAAGTAAAAAATCTAGTTAACTCAAATTCACAATTACGCTTTTCTAACAGACCAAACTTCTTTTGAAACAGACACAGAAATACCTGCACCTTATCTGTGTTAAGAACTGTTTAAAACTTGTTACATTTGCAGGCAAATTTTATGTCTGGCTGACATTCTGATCCACAATTTTAAAAATCCACAGGTATATATCTAAACATTTTAATATAAACTTTGATGAGAACAGGTAAAAATTTATGGTTGGTCTGGTATAACTTCCTTGAATGATTTATGTTTGGAAATAAGATGTAAACTTTGTAAATTGCCACACTGAATTCTTACTGTGCTTTGTCAAACTGTCCTAGACTGTTAACTTGCCTAATTTTATCTTTTGTCTTTATTTTTAAATTTTTGGTGCTGGCAATTGAACGTAGGAAGCCTCCAGGATGCAAAGCATGAGCTGTACCACTAAGCTATATTTCTAGTCACAACTGTTTTCAAATGTTCTTAGTTTGAAGATTTTTTCTTTAAACTAAGGACAAGTTAGCGCACAACTAAACTTTCCAAAATTTTACAATCTGCCTTATTTCTGAGCAATGAAAACAGAGCAATGTGGAGGGGAAGGTCATAATGATCTACTCTCCATTACAATGGAAGCTGAAACAGCCAGCTGTCAACAAGACAGCCCTTGTTTGGCAGATAATAACCTAATTAGTCCAGACATCTGGATTCAAACATCAGTGTACTTTTATGCTTTCATAAGTAAATCGGAGAATATTTTTATACATACATCCACACAAACACATTCATACAGATACATACTATCAGAACAGATTGTCTGCTAATTTTTGCATTCTAATTTTCACTTCCATGCCTCAAGAAGGCTTGCCATTTCTGATTCAAGGGGGAAGAGGTGGTAGGAGATATGAATGGTATTCTTCCAACTAAAATCATTCATGTTGTTTCCTGTACAGTACAACTCAATATTAACTGAAATTCTGCAAAAGAATTGGGGAGTCATTTTAATATTTACAAGAAACAAATCAGCAGAACAAGATTATGTCAGATAGGCTGTGTACAGTAGCTGCAGCTTATAAAACATACCAGTAATTTGTACCTGGCAAGTATAAAGACAACCCAAGATTCAGATGACTTTACAACCAAGGAAGTACATAGGTCACTGACAAATTAAGAGGACCAAAAAAAAAAAAAAAATTCACATTTTCTACATTTAAAAAATTACAGATCTCACAAATGTCTTTGACGACAAAGAAAAATTCAAAGTCCTTTAAAGGATGAGAAACAAGGTATTTGAAATGGAACCCTAAGCATAAAAAGAGTTTTACTTCACAAGACCAATTTTCTTGGCTTCTGTTTCATATATCAATAATCTCCACATTTTTACTATAAAAACTTCTGCTTCTTCATCAAGTACCTGAAAAAGAGAAAAAAAAAAAGTAACAAGGTAAGTAATCCTCAGCATCTTCCAACAAGTTAGGTTAAAAAAGGTTTTTATCCACAAGCACTTAATCTCAATGAGATGATTTAAAGAAAATCAGTGTAACAAATGGATTAAACAGTACATATAAATTGAGGCCCCCCCCCAAGAAAAATTCATTGGCTTACTGAACACTAATACCACATTTTTTAAAAAATTGGGGGGAGGGAGGTCTTTTTGAAACCAGGTTTCGGCTATGCAGTTCAGGCTAGCCTTGAGCTCACTTTGCAGTCCAGATCTGTCTCGAACTTCCAACAATCCTCCTGCCTCACTCTCCCAAGTACTGGGATTACAGGTATGTACCACCACATCTAGCTCACATTACTTTTTTATTTTGATTTGCTTTTTGGTATTGGAGATCGAACTCATGACCTAGTGCTTGTCAAGCAGGTGCTTGTGCATAGAGCTAAACCCCCGGCCCTCATATTACTTTATGATCGAACTTTTTTGCTAATCTTAGCTTTAAAGATAATGTATTTATGCATGTTTGGCAAAAGAACAACTCAAGAAAGCAAATGCTTGTCCTAAAGACCATAGTTAATTTTTTTTTTTTTTTGTCTTTTTCCTTTTTTATCGGTACCAGGGATCGAAATCACGACTGCCTGCTTACAAGGCAGGCACTTATGCCGCTGAGCTAAATCCCCAGCCCCTACCATAGTTAATTTAGGAAGAACTAAATATAACTAATAACACAGAAAATATTATTTTCCTCCCTAAATGACATTATAATCTTAACACCTAGCATGTGCTTACTATATGACACTCAATAAAGTTAATGAATGCCATCATCACCAAAGGTGATAATGACTAGTGAAAAACACATCTTTTTCCATCCACTAATAAACTAACGTATTTTCCTATCATCTTAGCAGAGTTAAGATGCCTCATGTTCCAAAATCTCTTGTTCTAAGTCCACACATACATGTGGCCCTCAATTGCAAGGTTGCTGTGAGGACAAATGGATAAATCTTTCTTTCTTCTGAAGGAGACAATTAACGGAGTTTGACACTATCAGTGCCTGGATGGAAAGTTGCCAAGGTCTTCCTAGAGACAGTTTAAGGAAGGAATTTTCTTTAGATCTGGACCTCTAGTCAAACTAATAGGATCATATTCTACTTCTACAACCTGAGGTATGTGTCTTTGGCAGAGTTATACTTAACCTCAGTTCTTTTACCTGTAAAATGAGAGATCGTGTAGCTATGTCACAGCAGTAGGCACTACCATGGGAATTAATGGATTATAGGCATTAAATGCTTTGAAGTGTTTGATGCATAATTAATGCTTACAAATAATTAGTTCCCAGTTAAATTCTCAAATGAAGACAGAAATTTCAATTTTTCTGAGAAATTCTGTACAACTTCTCAATGATGTCAACTTAAAAAAACTTTTAAACTAGCTGGGAATGGTGATGCACACCTATAATCCCAGCACTTGGGCGGTTGAAGCAGGAAGATCTCCGAAAGTTTTAAGTCAGCCTGGACCACATAGTTAATTCAACGCCAGCCTAACCAACACAGTGAAAACTTAACTTTTAATAAACCAACAAAAACCTTTTAACCAAACTTCTATGAGCCAGATTTAACTGTAGCTTGAGAACTATATTCTGAAAGTAATTCATATGCAAGTCACACTATAAATACAGTGGCACAAAACTAAGCCAAAGTTCCTTAATTTATATAAAATGAGGAAAGCTGTAGTTTAAAAGAAAGTGACTTTAGCTATAAAGCCTCTCAAGAATATTTAGAGGACCCATGAGCTTGAGCTTTTAACAGAACTGTTTGACAACACAAGTTCCAATGGGTTCCTCCCATTCTGATCAACAATGAACCAGAAAATAAACACAATAGCATCAAACTATACTCCAAAAATCATAGCATGTCAAACAGACTGAACACTGACACATGAAACCTACAACTCTACTATAATCCCAAACTAGAACACCTCACACATCCCCTGCATGAGGAATTGAACCAGGGCATTCTGCCAACCATTGAGCATCTCTCTTAGCCCTTTTTATTTTGAGATAGGGTCTCATTAGGTTGCCCAAGGCTGGTGTAGAACTTATGATCCTCCTATCTCAGCTTTCTAAGTACAACGGACCCTCCAGTTATAGTAGACTCACATAAAACTGAGTTATAACCACAATTTTAGGCTTAACTTATAACCAAAGTTTCAGTTACAACCTGAATGCTAGCCACTTCTGCAAACAAAGATTTTCTGCGCCACAGAAGTATACTAAGCATCAGTCTGAGCCTAGATGTGTGTTTCTGGTCATGATTCCGGTCAGTGCTTTATTTATATAACTGCTACAATTACTGCTATCAAAATGGCCCCAAAAAGCTAGAAAAACAGCTAAGGAAGTAAAGGAAGATAAAGAAAGCAATCAATAAAAAATAATAAAGAAATTGTGGAGAAATATGAGAGCCATTTGAATGACCAATCTTGCTAATGTCAAAATCCTCGACAATCCTCGATGACATCTCGATAATCCTACATAGAAAAGATTTGTATACAGAAGCTAGTGTTGCTACAGCAAGATACAAAGGCTATTAATGTGGATACAGGAAACACAGATGACAGGTTATACCTTGAATCAATAATTTGTGGAAAACCTAGGGCTACATATGCAGATCTCATAAAGGATAATCTATCCACAAGTGATAACAGTGAAACATTTCATGCCAGTAAGGGATGGTTTCACAATTTTAAACTGACAAATGGGAATCATAGTGTAACTAGACATGGCAAACCAGCCAGTGCTAATAAAAGGGCTAATTTTGGATTTACTATTAACTTGTTTTGAACCACATTCATTGTTGTTTTTATTGCTTCTGCTCTATTCTGTTGTTTGAATTTTACTATGACTACGAGGTATTTGCAGCTATTTTGAAGGTAACAAAATGTGTTATGACAACTTTTGTTGATTTTGTAATTTTTTTCTGATTTTGTAATGTTTTTAAGTCCTATATCATTTATACTTTTTTTGATTGGTTTTATTGTTTTATTATCCTTGGTTTTATCTCTTTAAAGTGAAATAAAAAGGTTACTAAACATTATATACACTATTTCAAAACAATGACACAGACATATGGCTTTTGCCCTCATCAAGCTTTCAGCCATACTGAAACTGGCCTTTCTGGGAAGAAAACGCCCAGGAAAATATACATTATCCAGGAAGAAAAAAAGATAGAGGTCACAAGCCTGAAAAGGATAAACTATCCTTATTGTTATACACCATTGCATGTGGTGACCCCAAGATAAGCCCTCTCAAAAATAAATAAATAAAGCCTTTCTTGGTTTATCCCTGAGACCCCCCCCCCAGAGTGTTTAGAAAAAGTCATGAAGAATAAGGATCATGAGGAGACCTAACACAAAAATGTGAATAACAAGTACTTTTTCTTTCTTGAGTGGATCAGTGAAACTTTTCTGTCCTACTGTTAAGAAATATCTAAGAAGACAAGGGTTTTCCATTCAAGGATCTCATCATGGACAATGCAGCAGGCTCACCCGGGAGATTTAGAATTGACTGAAGAACTCCCAAGGCTCTCAGTCAAGTTTGTCCAACCTAATACAACTCCTCTACTGCAATATATGGATCAGCAGGTTAATGCTAACTTTCAAGAAACTGTTCCTGAAATACTTCCAGATGGTTTCAGATACAGATTTAACCCTTACAAGGTTCTGGAAGAACATTACAACATCCTTTTCTTTGTAAGTTAGCTGAGAATTCTAGGGACCTTTTATTCATTTATTTGGGGTACCAGGAATCGAACTCATGACCCTGCATTTGCCAGGCAGCCACTTAGGCCATTGGGCTTTATCTCCAACCCTAACTGAGAAATTATACACCAATATCTCTCTAAATACACTGAGATATGCTTAGAATAAATTATATAAGAGAGACATTTGAAAATGTGTAGAGGAGCTGGAGCATTCAATTGACCCTGTGGTTGATGCCACTGTCGCTACAGCAGAATCCATAGGCTTGCAGTTATACAGTAGTGATGGTGAAGAAACACTCAGAGGAACGTTAGCAACTTCTGGCTGAGCAACAGAAAATGGCAGCTGAGGAGATTTCTGAAGAGGAGGGGGAGTATCAACAATCAATGCAGCAAAACTCTTATGAAATAAAGAAAATCCTGGAAAAAATGGAGAGCTACAAACATTTATACAGGACACCCACCCAGACACAGAAAAGGTCAGTTGTTCCGTTCACTTGCTTAGTAACAATGCCATGTCATACTATAGAACAGTGGTAAACTAAAAACAGAAACAGACTATCTTAGAACAGTTCTTGGTTCTGAAAAGGTTGAGACCTAGGTTGAGCCAGAAGCAGATCCTAGTGGGCTAGACTCTTCCAAGCAGAGAAAGGACACCAGAGAGCCAGATTCCTGATGTTCTTATGGAAGGGTACTCTCCTTACAAACAATAACCACCTTCAATTTCCATCCTCCTTTCCTGCAAGCCAAAGATGTCAACTTGAATGCTAAGTACAGTATGAAACTGCAGTTTCTGGTAAACTAGGCACACTTTGTAACTTTTTGGTGAATATAGAAGGAAAATCACAGATGTTTCTGGTAAATTATGCACATTATACTACTCTTTTTATTATGAAAAAGTTAGAGGGCACTTTGGGAGGTTCAGAATGCATTGTGGGTATTCCCATTATTTGTTATGGGGAAAAGCAGCCAGGACTTACCAAACAGCCCTTGCAAAGGAATTGAGTTCAAAAGTTGAGAGTACTCTGCAGCTGTGACTGAAACTGTGTGCCACTGTACTCACGTAGAACACTGACTTTTAAAAACATCCCTTCACCCATATCTTTTCTCTACTCCAAGTGTAACATTTAAAAATGAAGCTGAAGAAGTTCAGATTCCATCCCTTAACCTCAAGGACACAGGCCATACACATTTCTCCTTTCCTCCATGCACTGCAGAGGCAACAAACTTTTCTCAAGTATTTTTTCCCTAATGAGGAACTCTATAAACAACAGTATCAGGCTAGCTAGGCAGAAGAAAACAAATGTCACCTGGCTTAAGACGTCACAGTGCACAGACACAAAGCACACTGACCTCAAAACTACCTTGGTTAATAACGCCAATGTATCTCTCTGACATCCCTTGCTATCAATCAAAATGCAAGCCCCCCCCCAGTTATATTATCATATCATGTTTGATTCTTATTCTTCCTCTCTGACATGGCCTATTGTTGAATTTTCTGACCTTTGGATTCCTATTCTATTTCATACCAAACATCCTTAACTTTAAATCAGTTTTTTCATATTTTACCTTAGTGGAAACCCTTGTCTGTCCCCTAGGGCTCGACATTCTTTGGAGCCTTCTCAGAAAGTTCCTATCTCTCAGTCAGGCATAGTGACACATTCCTATAATCCCAGAAGTTGGGAGGCTGAGGCAGGACGATTGTCTAGAGTTCAAGGCCAATCAACCTGTGCTACACAGGGAGTTCAAGACCAGTTTAGAGTACATAATGTGAACCTCTCAAAAAAACAAGACAGTTCTCTACTCTAAAGTCTTAACCACTTACTAATTATTTAAACATAGGATAACCAAAAGTTGAAGTTTTTCTCATTAATTTTTGTAAGATAACAGGATATATAAAAAAAACCAATTTTATCAAATTTATTCAATTCAAGAATCAACTGGTTGAAAACAAACCTATCCAAGCAATTGTTGGAACAGTACGTAAACAAACGTGCTGCTTGAGCAATGCTTAACTAGTATTATTAAAGGGTGCTGGATCTTCACTCTTTCTATTCATGGCAGTATAAGATCTCATTATATGACTATCATTCTAACAGCAGCTATCTAGTAAAACCTAACCTTTCCCCATATAAAATGAAATGAATGCTTTCATACCTGATTCCAGCATTTTTCTCTAATCACTGTTCCCAACACCAAGGATATTTTTTTCCTTTTATTAGTGGTAGGGATTAAACTGAGGGCCTTAGGCCTTTCTTTTGTGACAGGGTCTTGCCACGTCACTAAATTACGCAGATTGCACTCAATTCTCCTGACTCAGCCTGTCAAAGGATGTGATTACAGAAATTTGGCCCCTGGTCTCCAGGAATTTCTGTTGGCCACATTTTGTATCTTGTTATCATCTTGACTGATTCACCACTGAAGTTTTTTACACTTTAACATGTTATATTCAACTCTTCCATATATCCCATAACTTCTCTGAAATTCCAATCCTTATTTCAGTGAAACCATCTTTCTTTCTTTCCTTCATCTTTTTGAGACAGGGTTTCATTGTGCAGTTCAGGCAGGCCTTGAGCTCACTTTGCAGTCCAGCTTGGTCTTGAACTCACAACAATCCTCCTGCCTCAGTCTCCCAAGTGCTGGGATTACAGGCATGTGCCCACCATGCCTGACTGGTTTTAGAATTTTTCATAGGCTGAACTAAAATTTAATGTTTACTGGGCTGGGGATTTAGCTCAGTGGCATGAGAGGCTTGCCTGGCAAGCCTGAGGTTGCGAGTTCGATCTCCAGTACCAAAAACCAGTACCAAAAAGAAAAAAAAAAGTAACGTGTATTAAAAGAGATTAAAGGCACCTTCAGAAAGACATTGTTATATATCATTTAGAAATTAGGGTTTTTTAAAAAATCTGTACTTTTTCTCTTCCTCTCCTGTTTATATAAATTTAAGTCCCAGGTTAGCATTTATTTATTAGTATATTTATTAAGTGGTCACTTATTAAAGTAACATGCTAGAAGCATGAAAGGTACACTCTGTCCTGGCTGGGATACAGTATACAGATGCTGAAACTTAACAATGATGGCAAACCTTTTAGGGATGAGTGCCTAAACTGCAACCCAAAATCCACTTAATTATCTCAAAGTGCAAACACTGCAATTAAACCTCAGTACTTATGTATTAATTTACAAAAAAATACAACTCATATATTAAGATCTTTATTTTAAAAGAAAATCAACATGCATGCCATAGGTTCATCACCATTGAACTCTTGTGTACTTGCTATAACAAAGTCTACTCCATTACAGAGGATATGGCACATCTGGTGGTGTTGAGGTCAGTTAAAGAGAGTGTCAACAGGTAGTACCATATAAATTGAGACATGAAGTTTAACTATTTTATTATTTTTGGTGGGCTTGGGCAGTGTTTAAACATCAAGTCTCCAATTACATTTAATTTGGGATTAGAGTCAGTGGTTGAATTTATTTCACACTGTGATATAAAGTGAGCTCAAGGCCAGCCTGAACTACACAGTGAAACCTTGTCTCAAAAAGACAAATACTACAATTATAATAACATATTATATATAAAATATAATTCTAAAACCAAAACAGGTAGAAAATAAATTCAAAATTTAGTTTTTTACATAAATATTAATCAAAATAAGAATGAATTTCTAACTTACCATGGCAACATCATCTAAAATGCTCTGAGGTGAACTATGTGCCATAACCTAGAAAGAAACAGTATTACGGTGAAAGGAAGCTAAAAGCAATAGTCAGTAAGTTTTAAGGTAAACATTCTCAAACTGATACAGGAATTTCTTGTGGATAAGAAAACTGTCTACAACCTTTTTATTTTCGGATCTTAATCACTATAGTATCTATCTTCTAATGGTCAAATCCTAGTTACAGTAATTTTGAATGCTGTAACAATTACAAGTGAAGACAGTCTAGGTTTATTCTTTTTTTGTAGGGGGGCGTTCTTTTGAGACAGGGTCTCACTATGTAGCCCAGGCTGGCCTGAACTTTCTGCAACCCACCTACCTCAGCTCCCTCTGAAAGCTGGGATTACATGCATCTGTCACCACATCCAGCTAAATTTACTCTTAATAATATTAAAAGGACAGGTTGGAAGACTGATATAGCTAAGACCTTTACAGGAATATGGTGCTTCCATTACAGTATCCATCCTATTGAAGAAAATACTATGCTTTAAGGGGACAATGAAAGGATAAAATATACTTTGGAGGTTAAGAGCCTAAATATAAGAGGAAAGACATTGCTGCTTATTAGACAAAATGGCCAAAAGACAATCTTTCTCTAAATCTTAAGTTTCTTCATGTATAAAACGTAGATAACATTAGTGACTTACACTTAAGTTGTTCAGACATTTAAAGGTTGAGTTCTGTAAAATGTTAACACAGTTATCTGCCAAGAATTTAGTAATCAGTCAGTGAACACTGACCATTTTTATGATATGGAAAGAACCATTTCATTTTTTTTTTTTTTTTTTATCAGTACCAGGAATCAAACTCATGACCATGCACTTGCAAGGCAGGCACTTATGCTGCTGAGCTAAGTCCCCATGCCCAATTTCACTATTTTAAAATGGATGACTGCTGGGCGTGATAGTGCATGCTTACAATCCCAGCATTTCGAAGGCTGAGGCAGAAGGATTGCAAGGAGTTTCAAGGCTAGACTGAACTACATAGTGAGACACACACACCCCACTTTGGTGCCAGGGATCAAACTCATGACCTTGTACTTGCCAGGAAAGCACTTATGCCACTGAGCTAAATCCCAGGCCTCACAGTGAGATCTTTCTAAAAAAAAAAGATGAATCACTAACAAAGAAGTTTCACAAGACAAGCTACCTCTACAAAACCTTGGCTGTATTTTGGTTTTATTCTAACTAAGACAAGACAGATGGTGACATGGTATTGTCAGCAATAGACAAAGCAAGCATAAGGGGCACAGCCAGCAATTCTGTAAAGCGTTCACTAAAGCAGCAATGGATCATTTAATCGAAACTAAATTATCACAGACCTCACTAAGCAAAATATTTTACTTGAGGCAAGGTCTAATATTTTAATGTACAACATAAAATGCTGTAGTAGAAGGGACAAAAGACTAACCTTTGAACAAACAAAATCAACTAATGTTGCTTCTTCTTCGCCTATGTATTCTATGATTTTCTTATTAATCCATGGTCTAATTCGTCGTTCCATCAGTATCTGCAAAACAAAGCACAGTTAATGAATTAAAAGTATTAATCCTTTATATGTATTAAAGCCTCCTAACTTTTAAGATTAACATATACTATGTTCATTCAAAAGTTGAAGACAGGTATGTATCAAGAATTATTCACTTCTAATCTAGGAAGACTTCGATAAAACCAAGAATTGCCCCCCAATAATATAAATCTTTGATGATGGCATTTACTTGGTATCAAGAAGATTATCTTTTTTGTCATTAATGAAGTCAAATGAAATGTATGCTACAGTAAAACCATTCCCAACAATCTGATGAAACACCTTTACTCACAGAATCCACAATAGACCAATCCAGAGGATAAGCAAAGAGCTCAGGTTTAGCTGTTGGGATTTTCTCAATAAGACTCTTAATATGTTTGCGCTTTTCTTCAGTGTTCACAGTGCCTTTGGCAGCATTTTTATCATCTTCACCATAATCCAATGGAACCAATTTCCTTTTTCGTGGCACATCGTCACTATCTTCATCCTCAAATTTGTTAAATACACTATCTACAGGTAGCTTCTTCCTTTTCACAGAATTAGGCTGACCGGGACTATTAGAAGCACCTATAGTAAAAACACTATTTTAGCAGGATGTCATTTTCAAATGTTGTATCTAACAACCCACCATCCCTCAAGTACAGTCCAAATACTTTCATAAATGTCAAAGAAAGATCCCAACTGTAAAAAATAACTCACTACTCACAAGTGCTAGAAAATTAAACTTTTCACTTCTTCTCAGAACTCGAGGCAGCTGCAGATATAGGAGCACTAGTAGGACTATGAAAACAATTGTGAGCTAGAAACACATTTTTTAATACTTTTCTATCTACCTATCAAGCAGTACAACTTCTTCCCTTTAAGCAAAATATATGAATTTGCAGGGAGAGGAGAGACAAAAACGATGAAAATGCTAACATACCCAGTTTAAGACTTAATCCTATTTTTGGCCTATGTTCCTCAGGCTGCTGTTGATCTGGTGAGTTTTCATGAGGAATAATAATACCACAGGGAGACTCGTCCCCAGGAGTATTGGGGGTTGCATTGCCACTGGCAGAAGAAACAGATGGAGCAGAGCTGATGGGCCTCAGAGTGGGTTTCAGACAAGGCTTTTGCTCAGGTTCTTCTTCTTCTTCCATCGGTTCTTCTCGTTTTTCTTCCTTTTCTTGTTTTTCTTCTTCTTCTTCCTCTGATTCTGGCTCTTGCTTTATTTGTGGTTGTCTGCGCCTCTCAGCCTCTTGTTCCATCTATGACCAAAAGTTAACTGATTAACTTGGAAAAGACTGGCTTTTTAGTTTATAGTATTCTTTATTAAAGAAATTCTAATGGACAATTTTAGAATACTATAGGTAATACATAAAGGGCAAGCCAAATTCTACACAAGAAAAACAGTGTTAATAGTTTTTTGTTGTTGTTGTTTTGTTTTTTGTTTTGGTACCAGGGATAGAACTCACAAGCTTGGCGCTTGCCAAGCAGATGCTGCGTCACTGAGTTAAACCTTCAGTGGGCAAGCCAGATTCTCAAAGGATGATCATACACAATTATTTATTCTTTAGGTAAACAAAGCTAGTATGTAAAACTGGGAAAAGGAAGAAATAGGGAATAGAAGGCAAATTTTAGACCAGAGACCTATAACAACATGAATACCTAAACCCATAAAAGATATATGAGAAAGTGTCATAAGGGAGTTATTAAAAATTAGATAAACTAGATCAATAAATTGTTTCATTTTTTAGGCTGGGGATTTAGCTCAGTGGCATAAGTGCCTGCCTGGCAAGCACGAGGTCATGAGTTCGATCCCCAGTACTGCAAAAAAAATAAATAAATTGTTTCATTTTTTTTATTTTGAATGCTGAAAACTGTTTACTTGTAAGTGCTTTATCAAAATTAAAAGGAATATGTAAAAACAAGGTTCTAGGCAGAAAAGCATTTAACAGATTAATTAATCAAACAAACAAAAAAAATGTTGAGTGGTGGGCCTGGTCACACATGTCTATAATCCCAGTTACTTGGGAAGTTATGGCAGGAAAATCTCAATTTCAAAACCAGCCTGAGCAACATACACACAGCAAGAAACTATTTTTAAAAAAACATAGAAAAAAAAAAAAGACATGTGAATTTCATCTATGACTAGATTAACTAAAAACTTTTCAACAATGACACCCTTCTCATGGCAAATTTAGGTATGCCATGATCTATAACCTAGTTTCTTTCTTAAAATGACAAGCTGTTAATGAAAACATAAAAGAACTCAAACCACAAAAATTTATTAAATGTCCTTCTATAAGTAGGAACTCCAGTAAAATTTTATGAAACAGTCATCAAACTAAAGTAACAGTTTCATTCATGTTTACAAATTAAACTTATAATTGTTTGATCTTATATTTAGAACTGAGTTATAAATCAAACTAACACTGCTGATTTCTCTAATATAAAGCACTAAAAACCTTCAACAAAATAGCAAGTTCTATAGAACATGAGTATTTCTTATAACTAAAATTGAACATTACCATAATTGGCTTTATTTATTATGGTTTTTTTTTTTTTTTGAGGCAGGGTTTCACTATATGGTTCAAGCTTGCCTTGGTGAACTACTTGGTGGCTCAAATTTGCAGGAATCCTCCTGCCTCAGCTTCCCAGAGTGCTGGGATCATAGGTGTGCACCACCACTCCTCGCTCCTATTGGCTTTAAAATAACATGATAATCTTAAAATCAACATGGTATGGTTTTATCTCACCCTCTGGAGCTCTGCATCGGGATCCGGGTGCCCTTCTGCCAGAAGGCGTTGCCTGATTTCCTCAAGCTCTTCCTTTTCTCTCTTTCTATCTCGTTCATCTGCTTCCATTTCCTTTTCTCTATCACGCAACCTTTTTTGGAGAGCACTCCCCCTGCAAAAGTAGCAGGCCTTACTTAACATCATTACCTATTTTACAACAACACCTTTTTACAATATTAAAGACTGCATGCAAAGGACTGAGATTGTCTTAATATTTTATGTCTACAAACACAGAAAGAGTTGGCATTTTATGTGTTAACATGTGATAACTGTACACTGTCTTCTCATCTCACCACACTTTGTCTTAATAACCCTGCTAAGTGTTTAACCACTTAAAAGTTTACCCTAAGCCTCATTCATGTTTGTTTATGTACTATTTCGAGTGTTGCTTAGGCAGGCATCATTTCAACCAGTTGATTCTTGTATTAAACAAATTTGATTTTACATTTCCTGGTATATTATCTTATAAAAATTAAGGAGAAAAAAATGCAGTTTTTGGTCATCCTGTAGGACTATTAAATGGTTAAAACAACTGAAAAGGTAGCTCTCAGAAGGAATATAAGTTCTCATTGTGAAGCCCCATAATATAATTTGGTTTTTCTCACATGCTAAGAGGTGAAAAAATACAAGTTGCATTAATTCCACAAAGAATAGTTCTGGGACCAGGCATGAAGGTTCCAAATTACAGCATCGGAAGGCTGATGCAGGAGGATCATCATGTGTTCAAGTACAGCCTAAGCTATATAGTGAGACCCTATTGAAAGAGACTCAAAGTACAAGAATAGTTTTTGGCCTAAGGGTATAGCTCAGAAGCAAAGTATGGTCAGTATGTACAAGAACTTGGACTTGCCAGGCAGGCACTGTGCCACTAAGCTATAGCCTCAGTTCCAGTACAATTTAAAAACAACAATAACACCCACACTAAATTGAAATTAAAACTTTCCATTACAGAAAAATCTCACCAGTGCAGAATCATTGGAAAGCAGAGGTTCTATTTAATAGTTCAATATGTCTTACAATGTGCAAGTTATCTATCCCCTGCCATTTTATGATTCTAAGATTTGGTAATTTTACTGACTTTTGTGATACTGTCTACATTGAGGATAATTCCTTGACACCCTTTCACCTTAGGTGATTAATTCCAAAATTTCAATTATTTTAGTTATAGCATATTAAATGAAACTATATATTACATGCCCTCATTAGCCTGTAGCATATCACACTATAGATAGTAAAATTATATCTAGACACTGTCCATATTCTAAAAGTTTGAGGATAACAGTTTGAGAAGTAACAAGACAATTTCACCAATGTCATAAATGGAAATTTTTAAATGTTAGGAAAACAAAAAAAGGGAACAGGCATTACAACTATCTTATTACACTAACATAGTTATTGAAGATGGTAGGGTAGGGGATTTAGATTGTCATTCTTTTCTTTTTTCTGAAACAGGGTCTCAGGCTGGCCTTAAACTCATTATGCAGCCCAGTCTTAAATGTACACTGATCCTCCTGCCTTAGCTCTCCGAGTGTTGGGATTCTAAGAGTGCACCATCATCAAGCCCCACTAGATTACAATTCTAAAAGTCCTCCAAGACAAAATTTTCTATGTAACCCAAAGTAGTTACAAAAATTAGTTACAATAAGTGAATCTATTTAAAATACATGAAGAAAAAAATAGGATTTTTGGTTTAATGCTATCATACATCTCACCTGCAACCCTCCAGATACACAAAATTGTTCATTTTTATCAAATTGCGTGTGCACACACAAACACACAGCAAAAATACTACCAGCTGAAGGGATGATTACATGATGTAATATGATTTCTACTTCCTTATTCCACTTAATAAATATGATCTTAGGTAGGCAAAGAAAGTACATCTAATAAAAAAACTGAGAAGATGAGTTCATGAAGCAAAGCTTCTTTACCTGTAGTATTTGGGATCATCTCTATCATCATCATAGTCTTCTAAGAATTCTTTTAGTCGTTTAGCCTCTTTAGCCTTTGCAGAAATGGACAATGTATAGGAAATTAACATGAGAGTTATTCAGATTATAACAATCCCCAGAAAAATTCTGTCTTATCCACACCACTTAAACCTTTACAGTTTTTTTGGTACCAGGGACTGAATTCATGACCCCATGCTTGCCAGGCAGGCGCTAAGGCTGCGGAGCTAAATCCCCAGCCACCTTTATATATACTTCATGTATTAAGCGTGTATTGTTAGACACATTTTTATCTTTCACCTATAAAACAAATCAGATTTAGGAGTGTATTGTTAAGCGTGTATTGTTAGACACATTTTTATCTTTCACCTATAAAACAAATCAGATTTAGGAGTTAGTGAGTAAATCAGATTTAGGAGTTAGTTAGTCTGTGAGTAAAAACTACACACACTTGCATTATATTACAATAAATACTTCCTCCAAAAACCTATATTTTTGTCTGTTTGTCTGTCTGTCTGTTTTTTACAACAGGGTCTTGCTATGTGGTTCAGGCTGGCCTTGGGCTCACTTTATAGCCCAGGCTGGTCTCAGTCTTTTTTTTTTTTTTTTTAAGAGCATTTTTGTTTGTTTGTTTGTTTTTATTTTTTTGGTACTCGGGATCGAACTCACACCGCATGCTTGCAGGGCAGGCGCTTATGCAGCTGAGCTAAATCCACAGTCCCAAGGCTGGTCTCAATCTTGCAACAATTCTACTACCTCAACCTCACCAGTGCTGGGATAACAGGACTGCACTACCACACCCGTATAGTAATAATTCCTCAGTGAAACCAGAACATACAAGGAAACCAGTTATCTTACATTTATTAACCAGACAAAAATATTTTAAATTCATTTTGTAAATGGATGATGCAGCAAGTAGTTTACTTAGTATAAAAATGGGTATCATTTTCACGCAGCACTTCAATAATAATGCATACTCAAACTTAACTTTTTTTAGTAATTTTTTCCCACCCACAATGCCTCCCTACAAAACTTTAAACTGACGTCTTATTTTTATAATTTCAAGTACAACAGTATATATACCTAATTATATGTATTTTATCTATATGTCTATTATATACAACCACTATATCAACAACTATCATATTGATATATAAAAGATAATTCTGACTTTAAGCAAAGTTTTAATGTATTTCATCTAGCTCAAATCTTATGTCTCTTTAAAAACTTCCCCAATCTAAACATGAATACACGAACAGCCCCTCTGTACAAGCAATGTTAGCATTCTTCCAATATTTCCAAATTGCTATGAATATATGTTTAGCCATCTGAAACACACACATACACAAAACCCTATTACAATAAATCCCTTATCTGATGATACGACTTCCTTCTTATAAAATCAAGATTATTAGTTATTCCTGTATGCCCAGCATATGAGCAAAAGGCTGAAATATGACAATTTTTGAACTAATAGAAACAGTTTGTTTGCAACAGTAGATTCATATGTATTTTCAATTTCTTAAGTATGGGTACACAAGAAAGACCATAGGTACAAAAACAATGAAGTCTTCTAGTCTTTTTTCCCTCTGAATGTGGTATTTGGGACAAAACAGGGTCTTTGTACTGAGCTACAACCTCAGCCCTTTTTTATTTTTATTTTAAGACAGAGTGGTCTTGCTAAGTGGCTGAACTCCCCAGAGAGTTTTCAAACTTTTAATTCTCCTACCTCAGCTTCCCAAGAGTGCTAAGATCACAGGAATAACCACTGACAGTTTGCTATTAAGCAGATGGGAAGACTTTCACTTTTACCTCGTGTATTTGTATGACTTGACATGAGCCAGTAACTGCGCTGTGATAGTATATTTTAAAATCCAAAGACCAAAAAAAAAAAAAAAAATGATGGATTTACTAGAAGGAGGCCGAATCTCTAAGAGTTTACTCTACAATATTGTTGATGGCATTTTTTTTCTCTTACTATACTATTCTCTTCCTATTTTCTAAGAATGAACAATGAACTCTAAAATGGAGGATGTATAACCTCGCTTTCAATGTAAGTTTTAAAAACTAGATTTTAAAAAATCTATGACATTTAAGGATCTAATATCTGAGAAACCCATAACATTTATCTAGTTGCTGCATGCACCCTTTTGGTTACTACAAGAATTCTATGTTTCATGTTCAAAACTATTTGAAGAAGATTCCTAAATTCAGTGAAGTTTTTGGATGAATAATCTCCAAACTGGAGATTAAGAAAATTTCATATTCTGGCAAAGACAGAACAGATAGAACATACTGCTGAAGCAAATACTATGATAAATAATATTTTTATTATTAATAACTGTGCCAGTTGCTCACTGTTACAGCTTATCAACACTAAATATAAAAGGTAAATTGCTTTTAGGGTTACCATGCAGTTAAATAATATAGTAATATAAGGAAAAAACAAATTTGATAATATCATAAAAAATCTCTGATTTCTAAAAACTTCACCACACCCTTTGTTTCATTCAAATGCACTATACTAATTCAACAATTCTGCAGGTTTTTAATCAAAGAATGTTTTGTTAATTTTATGTATTATTTCATTATAGATTTACTTTAACTGTATGCAAATATAATTGTTTATGGGCAGCACATATTTGAGAAATAGAAAAAAAGATCTGTGTACTGCAATTATCCCAAGGATGCTTGAAATCCACAAAAATTATCTGTAAATGTAGCTTCACATTTAATAAGTTATTTCTAGTCAACAGAAAGATTTGATCTGATTCTCCTGAAAAATCACTTTTTATCTAATCTTACCATTTCTCTTCTTCTTTCTTCTTCTCTTTCAGCCTCTTTCTCATATTCCCGAGTTTTTTTTCTTTCTCTGATTTCCCAATTCTTCAGTCTCTAAAAAATAAAATTTCAAACCTTTTAAATTTAGGCTGGGCATGGCAGCACATGTCTGTAATCCTGGCACTTGGGAGGCTAAAGAAGGTTCGTTATGAGTTCAATACCAGCCTGAGCTACAAAGTGAGCTCAACCCGAACTATATAGTGAAGTCCTGTCTCAAAGACACCCCAAAAAAGCTCTACAGTTTAACTAACCTACTAATTATATCAATTTTTAACAAAGTATAAAAAAGTTATACCAAATAAAAGTTGTATTAAAATTGCAGAAATGATTTTAAGTAAGTGTTTTTTCTCAACTTACCTCTTGATAAGCAGCTTCTTTCTCTCGGAGTTTTCTTTCAAGTTTTCTTCGTTCATATGCATCTTCTTCATCTTCTTCTCTGTCTCGTTTCTTGTCTTTTTCTCTTTCACGCTCCCGTTCCCTCTCGCGCTCTCTCTCACGCTCACGTTCTCTCTCACGTTCCCTTTCTCGTTCTCTCTCTCGCTCCCGCTCCCGTTCCCTTTCACGGTCTCTGCTCTTTTCTCTACATAAAAGATTTTTAAAAAATCTGTCACTTTGTTTTCCTTTAAAGACCAACGGAAAGAAAAACACACTATGAAACATAATGAATTTTTAAGGAAAAATTGTAAACTCTGTTCATCAAATAGACAGAATAGGTGACAGAGGTATAGTTTTATAGTCAATCTGATTGCTTACTAGTTAACATTGGCAAGTCTTGGGTTAAATCCTCAGCCCACAAGTACACAAAGAAAGATAAGGGGTGGTGGCAGACACCTGTGCCTATAATCCCAGCACTTAGGACTGGGAGGCTGACTCAAGAGGATCGCTTTGAGTTCAAGGCAGACTGGTCAACAAAGTTAAGCTCAAGGTCAGCCTGAACTGCATGTGAAACCCAGTCTCAACAATTTTAAGTTAAATAAGTAAGTAAATAAATAAATAAAGCAAACCAAAACAAAAAGACAGTAATTCCAATGGGAAGGAAAACTAAAGAAATAGGGCAGGGGCAGGGGTAGGGGCAAAGAGGACACCATAGTAGAAGGAACAACAGGAAGAAAAAGGAGAAAAAGGAAGAAGAGAAAAGGGTAAGAAAGAATCAAACAAGAGGGAAGGAAGAAAGGAGAAGAACAGACTTATGATGTGTTACGTACCAACTCCCCACAATGAAGTAATTATTATGTTCTGTAAACATGTACTAACAAAATATTAAAAAAAAGACTAATTTCAACCCCAAATTCCATTCTAAAGTACATCAATACTTACTGGCACACAATTTATAAAACAACAAAACTCCACAAACCCTGGATATAAAATTATATTAAAAAATGGAGACATTAATAGTGGCCCATCATACATTAAAATATTAGTGAATCGCTTAATGGTGTACTATAGGAGTACTGTTCATTCCCAAGCACTGTTCATTCATTGATGAACATGTTAAATGACAATCTACCTCTAATGATATAGTAATACATCACTGGCAAACATGGAATAAAGAATTTTGCCATGTTGCATGGCATGGATAAAGTTACAACTATGAGGGCAGAGAATTTAGCTCAGTGGCACAAGCACTTGCCTGGTAAGTGCAAGGTCATGAATTTGACCCCAGTATCCCTAATCCCCACCCCCCCACCAAAAGAACTGTGTATCATCATTTCGGGTTATCAAATATTTAATTTACAACAATAAATATATATAGTATGATGTCAATAACCTAATAAAATCTACATACACGTCACAAAAGTAAAAGAGTTCTTGACCTTATACATGTCAAATTCTCAACTATGGAGGAACCAACAGATATTAAAGACCCACTAATAACAGCGTTCGAGACCAGTCTAGGCTACAAAGTGACCTCAAGGCCAGCCTGAATTGCATAGAGAGATCCTGTTCTCAAAAAGACAAAAACTACCTTAACAAAGAATCATAGTTGAAAGTTGTTACTTTCCTCAATGTTATCCATGTGTGTTAAAAACACAGATATGGGGCCAGGGATTTAGCTCAGTGGTGTAAGGGCCAGCCTGGCAAGCATGGGTCATGAGTTTCATTCCCGGTGCCCAAAAGAAAAAAAAAACAACAACAACAACAAAAAAACCCAGACAGGATATCATGGTTAAGGAAATTCCTCTATCAAATTACTGAAATAGTCCTAGAGAAGATTAATTCTGTTAGTTATATCTCAAACAGTAAAATTGATGCCTGTGACTTAGCTCAGTGCCCTAAGAGGGTTTGCCTGGCAAGCACAAGGTTGTGAGTTCCATCCCAAGGAAGAAGAATGGATAGATGGAAGAAAGGAAGAAAAGAAGGAAAGAAGGAAAAACGGTAAGAAGGAAGGAAGGAAGAAAGGAAGGAAGGGAGGGAGGAAGGAAGGAAACAAACAAACCACGGTAAACTCTACAAAAGCCTTACCTTGATCGACTCCGATCCTTATTTCGATCCGAGCTCCTTTCTCGATCCCGGTCCCGATCTCTTTCTCGATCTCGGTCCCGATCTCTCTCCTTTGTCCGGTCACGATCCCTATCCCGTTCTCGTTCCCGCTCCCGTTCTTTTTCCTTTTCTCGTTCACGTTCTCTTTCCCTTTCTCGTTCCCGTTCTCGCCTTTCTCGTTCCCTTTCACGCTCCCTCTCTCTTTCTCTCCGTTCTTTCTCAATTTCCTGTCTTTCTTTTTCCTTTTTGCCTTTCTCTTCTTCCAGTTTCTAGAAACCAATAAAAGTACTTTTAGAGTTAATTCTGTAGCTCCAGTATTCAGCTTCTTCTCGACGCAATGCCAACATTGACAACAAAAACATTAAACCACTGGTATTTTAATATTAGATACTTGTGGTTCTACTTGAAAAATTAAACTGAAGCAATTACAAGACTAGATTTTGTGCAAACCATATATTCTACACAGACTGTAGACTAGGAATCTCCAATCTTTGCTTATCGACTGTGTCAAGTGTGACTGGTCACTTAATTACTTAATAATTTAAATGACCATAAGAAATGTGGTACTTCATAGTAATTTCTACAAATACAATTACTTGGTTAAAATTAATTCTTTCCCATTATGAGTATGTATAAATCAGTGGCACTACTCCATTCCCATTATCAAATTGGATACTGAGGGTTTTAAAGGGGAGGTGAGAAAGATACAAGTCACAGTAATGCAACTAATTTTCTGCATTGTGGTTTACCCACCCCTCCAAAGAAACAAAATGAATTCAGTCAAGTTCTGTCTTTTTAATCTATAAAAATATTTATTCCCACCACAAGATGGACAGCCCACGAAACACAAAAACTTTGAAAATTGTTCATTTCAAGCAAGATATACATAATTATTTTCACATAAAATATTTAACAACCATATATTAATGCCCATGATGTCTGCAAAACAATAGAAATATATATTTACAATGATAAATCCATCCTTGGAAGGAATTATTGTGTATTAACTTACAGATGTTGTGCTAGGACATGGATCGCCAACACTGGATTAACCTTGCCTACAAGCTATGTTTCTGGGAGGAAGAGCAAGTACATGGTTCACAAATAACCAAATAACAAAGTCAGACCAAGTTCGTACCCTGAAAGATTACCAGTGTATCACAAGATTTCTATGCAAACTCAGAAGGAGAAAAAAATAGCCAAACAGATAAAAACAAAACAGAAACAAAACACATTTACCCCTTTGGTTCCATATTTGGTTTCACCAAAATGAAATTTACAACAGAAGGTTCATTTTTCTTTTCTCAGTCATGTAAAGCATTTAAAACAACTTTAAAAAGCAGTCTTACCTGTTAGATACTCTTTTTCCCTCGTTCATGGATCAGAGAACTGATACACAAATTATGAAAAAAAGCTAGTGCATGAGACATCAATATATTCAGCTGCAGTGCCACTCTAAATCAAAGTAGAATGCAGGCAGAGCCAACACTGAATACATTGAAATTAAAAAAGAGAGAAATAAGAAATAGTAGAATGGACAGAAACTAGAAACTATTAAAGGGGCAAAGTCTCATTTCTGAAACAGCTCTAAAGGAACATAAAAATTTATCCTGCAAAATGAGGCTAAATTATGTAAAACTTACCTCAATGTCATACACATAAAGAATTTTATTTCGGAGATAATACTTACAGATTATTTTAGTTGTTCCAATATTAATTTTTGTACAATTTTTTACTCTTAAGCTTATTCACTGTGCTTCCTGTTATATAAAATGTTTCAGAACTCATTTCAAAATAAATAAATGAAGTGAGTGAATCGAGTCTACACTGAATGTTTTTCTGAAGTTATTTATAAATATATGCTACAGATGAGTATGCACACAGGTAGATAAATAAATATATGCAGCATATATATGGTACATTTTTAAAAGACTGGAAAAAGATGAAATGAGATGAATCTAAAATGTAGGAATAATGAAGAAGAAAGGACAGATTAAAAAAAATCATAAATCTTACCTTATTCTCTCTTCAGACTCATCCGTGCTGTAAATGGACGCCCCCTGCCACGCTGATACCCTGACAGTCTGTGGTTATTTAATAAACTCATACCAAAACATGCAAAGGTTCACTGAGCTCATTTCTTATTACTGAAGTTTCAAACAGCCCCACCCCTACCCCGCACCAGCCATTGAGAACTAGTTTTTGTTGTTATGGTTGTCATTTTTGTTTCTTACTTTTAAAAGACATTTTGAAAATTCAAAACATTCCCCCAATAAAATACTAAGTGAGTGAAAGTGTGAGAGATTCTTAAAATTCTGAAACAAGTATCTTTTGAATTAATTTTTTATCATATTGTCTCTTAATAATTTACAAATAACATTACATGGTTTAACAAATGAAACAAAAAGAGGGTAAACCACACACACAACTATGTACCATTTTTAAGCTTACTCGGCCCTAAATTTGAGTACTGACCTTCATCAAAAATATTTTGTTAACATGAATTGCCACAGACCACCATTTTAACAGTCAAAATTTGGGGAGAATTACATTTGTGCTTTTAGACATGTTTAATTCCTCAGAAAGCACTGAGAATTTGAGCCATAAGTGTGCAGCACCACTAATCCTTTGGCACTATTAACCTGGTGTTTTGAAACCAACAGAAAAAAATGAGACTAATTATCATTAACACTTCACTGAGTTAAGATCTCTCAGTCTATGAATAAGAACCAGTAACATCTTATTACCTCTAATATCAAAATACATTTCATGCAGTATTTGCATTTCACCATCCATAAGCATCACCTTCAACACCAGCGAACATTCACAGATGCACTGTCATTGAGAGAAGCTTTAAATAGGCAAAACTCGTGAGTGGGATTTACTATATATACATCAATACTCATTTCCAAGCCAGTTACCCCTTTGCATATTTTTCTGAGGGGGCATCCATAAATATAATAAAAAACAGAAGCTCATACTTACATCCTATTCCTTGTTACTTTCCAAGCTGACAGTTTCATCTTGCATTAGTCACCATATGATCTCTATCATAATGGTGGGGGTCAATGAATAGATTAGCTTTATGGGAATTTACAGTTCTTCCATGCATCTAAAATTTGGTAAGTCTGGTAACCACTGACCTACTTTTTAAAAATCTCCCCCACTCAACTTAAATCTACACAAATATAAACCTTAAATTTTAATCTCGGCTCTACAGAAAGTTTTTCCTAATATTAAGTTAAATAACTATCCCAAAAGTACACTACACTAAATGTATGTTATCCTGCTGCCCCCTTGTATCTAGTTTAAATCTGATCTTGATTTTTATGTTGAATTCTAAAAAATTAGATTTTACTCATATTAAAGTGAGATGACTGCAGAGTAGTTAGTAACTGAAAAAACTAAGTGCAGTATGTCAAGGACCACTTTAATATGATACTAGTTTTCCATTTTTTTGTTTTTACCTAAGTATCAACTAAACCTACAAAAAGCACTTAAAATTATATTCTAATGTAAGGTTGATTTTCTTGTCTGCTTGTTCTGGATTCTGTAAAAAGTCTAGATTGGTATTAAGTGAAAAAAACAAGAATACTACCTTGTGCGTGTCTCTGAATTTGCTGATCTCTCGTGATATGAGGTCTCTCTTGTCCTCTTCCATTTCTATAGCATTTATGTCCTCCTAAAAGAGGGGAACATGAGGAAATGAATAAAAACCTACATACATCGATATAAAGTAACACATTAAATATCTGCTCAAGCCTGACAAATGCATGATCAAAGAAAAAACCCTACAGTAACACCTAAGATCCTAAAGTTATAAAATATTAACACATAAAAATCACAAATATTCAGTTATCATTAAAAAAAGTATGGTCAAAGCTTACGTTTAAACGAACCTTAGCGATGAGTGGATAAGGGATCAGTGGGGCAACTGGAAATCTGCGGAAAATCTGCAGAAAAATCCAGAAAGATTTTTTAAAAAGAGCTCACACTACTCTGTACTTCAATGCTCTCTCTACTTACACTGTAAGCATAATACTTGTAATATTTGACTGCAAATTACTTGCCATTAAAATCTATTCCATTCTCTTTAAAATTCCTCATCACCCACCACTTGCTCTCCCTCCAAAACTCCAAAGATAATGAATAAGAATCTCACTGCAGCAAGGCTTTCTCTTCAATCTGTTCTAAGACAGAAGAAACATTGCAACAAAATTTGCCTATAAACCCTGCCAAAGAACAGAATTTTTTTTTTAGTTTCCTCCTCTCAACCTGTATCAAACCTGTAGTTATTTTTCTTTTCAATGATTAAAAAAAGAACAAATTACACAGTCCTCAATTACCCTATACCTGCCTGATGTAGCAATTAAATGTCAATACAGTATACTTTGACTAGACAGCTTTTATAAACATATGAAGAACAAGCCAAGTAATAAAAAAGTACTTGGGCACAAAAGAAACTGAAGATGAACTGGGGATTTAGCTCAGCAGCCTAAGTGCCTGCTTTACAAGTGCATGGTTGCGAATTAGATCCTGGGTACCGATTAAAAAAAAAAAAAAAAGAAACTGAAGACAGCCTACAAAAACATTAAAAGTAACCATTCCCATAAAAATTTTATATTTTTCCATGAAGTATAAAATTCATGCATATAAAATACTTCTAAGGGTGGGGATTTAGCTCAGTGATGTAAGTGCCTGCCTGGCAAGCATGAGGTCACAAGTTCAATCCAGGGTATCAAAACAAAACCAAAAAAAAAAAAAATCAAAAACAAAAAAACTTCTGATGTTTTATAAGAATATTTTCCATAACTTTTCTAAGTCTATTCAAATGAACTGAGTGTAAGAGGAGCAACCATTTCTGTCAATTTGGATATTGCTAAAATCCTACCCATTCTGTTTTCCCCTATAGAGTTAAAATGCAAAATCGAAGCACAAGAGTAACATCATAAAAATAACTGTAGATATGACTGTGTGATGTCAGAACACATACGTCCTCCTTCTTTTCCTTTTTCTTCTTCCTGGGATGAGAGTCAGACTCCTGTGAGGGGGCATTTAGTTCACTGGAGTATTCTCGTATTAAAACTTCAATGGCCCCTTTAATCATCTGATCTCTTCTTTTTGTCTCTTCATCCAAAGCTTCTTCATCATCATTAGTGACAGTTTCGGGCCTGGCATTCTTAAAGCAAAAAGGAAAAAAAAAAAAAAAAAAAATCAAACAAGAAAATTAAAGTCCTTCCAAAGTATTAAAAATGTTCCCTCAAAAAGATCTCTATAGTCCTACAAAACAGCTGGTTTAATTGACTGCTACTGTACAAAACAGCTGGTTTAACTGACTGCTACTGTATAAAACAGACAAAAGCAAGAACAAAAAATGCTTGATAGCAATATATACTGAAATACAAGCATTCTAGACAGGTTAAGAATGGCATGTTGACTTCTTTTCACCGTTCTGCTTCTAGACTTTTACAATGTAGGAAATGCTACTTACAGAAATTATACGAAGGGGAAAAAAAAGTCAACTCTTAAGTACTGCAGAAGTCTTCCCTGTGACTTGCTCATGCAACATTAAAAAAAAAAACCACATATAATGTATGTCATGCTGCTCTCCAAGTATTTTGTTATACTCTACAGATAATCATTAAGGGACAAAGTCTAGATTAACTTTTGTCTCTTGCAAAGAATTATCTTACTTAGTGCTGCTATCTTACTCAACCATAAAGAATTTGGTCTACTGGAGGAATAAAAAGCTTCAATACTAAAGCTACTAGCTATGAAGTTAAGAGAGCTCTTGAAAGCTCAGTCTTGACTTTTAGAAACCAAAAGAACCACCACTTGGGAAACCTAAGCAGAATTCTTTTGGGAAAATGTTGACTTAATTAGACTAATTTCTAGGCAAAGATGTGAAGACGTTCCCCTGGAGCATGTGTTCTACGGGAATGAAATATACTTGGTTATTTTCAGAGAATATTGAGAATTTCAAACTAGACCTGTCGAAGTTCATTCTTAATTATTTAACAACCACCATTGGATAATGAAGCAGATTTATTTACCAATACACTCTTACTGCTAGATAGCCAAAATAGCAATACAACATGGACTAAATGGATCAGCATGGGTACCACAACGAAGCATTTTTACTGAAGGTCATTTAGAAATGGAAAAGGAAAATGATTTTACCTATAAGTGAATAATAATAAAAGTCTCCATGAAGCAATCTGACAAGATACATTACAGAAGCTTAATGTAAGTCCTCTTAAAATTCTGGATCAGGAAAAATTATCTCACTCTTATTCCAGACAAATATATGTTCCTCTTTTAATAATAACTATGTAACTGCACTTTCTCTTCTGCCTCAGTGAAAAACGGCTGAAAAAAGTAGTACATACAAGTTCTTGATCTCGTTTTGCAACATCGACCTTAGTTACAGCTTTCTAAATTTCTTCAACTAATCAACAATAAAGGGGCTGGGGCTGTAGCTCAGCAGCACAAGCGCCTGCCTGGCAAGTGCAAGGTTGTGAGATTGATTCCCAGTACCCCCCCCCCAAATAAAGAACAAGTACCTACTCACATATTCTAAGAAATCACAGTAAATCTGCAATCTACTACTCTACTATATAATTACATTTGCTTAGGTTATTTGAAAATAGAATACACAGAATTACTCAGCTTTTTTTTGGTCTTTCTGAGATAGAGTCCCACTAAGTAGTTCAGGTTTGTCTTGAACTCACTTTGTAGCCCAGGTTGGCCTCAAACAATCCTCATGCCTCAGTCTCCCAAGTGCTGGGATTACAGTCATACACCACCATGCCCTGTAACTTTTTTTTTTTTTTTAAACCTGTTATCATATAATTATTCTAGGAAAAAAATAACATGGTTGAACAGTGACATTAAATACCCTTGGGCACTATGCCAAGTACATGAAACAGTATGCATACAACCACAGAAAAATAAAACAGATGTTTATTTAAATTTCGTTTTATGCAAGTGTGGTAAGGCATGCCTGTAACTCAGGTACTCAGTGGTTTTGTTTTGTTTTGTTTTTTTTGGCTTTTTCGTTTTTATCAGTACCAGGGATCGAACTCACGACTGCCTGCTTGCAAGGCAGGCGCTTATGCCGCTGAGCTAAATCCCCAGCCCCTAACTCCAGTACTCAGATGGCTGAGGCAAGAGGATCACTGTGAGTTCGAGGCCAGCCTAGGTTGCATAGTAAAACTCAAGTCCAGGGGCTGGGGATTTAGCTCAGCAGCATAAGCACCTGCCTTGCAAGTGCATGATCATGAGTTCGATCCCGATTAAGGGGGAGGGGGGCTCGGCTCAAGGCCAGCCTGAACTACACAGCAAGAACATCTCAAAAGTGGGGGGAGCGGAAGTGTAGGTTGGGGGTTTATCTCAATGACACAAGCACCTGCCTGGCAAGCCCTAAGCCCGAGGTCACGAGTTTGATCTCTGGTTCAAAAACAAGAAAAAAAAAAAAAAGAAGCCAGGTGTGGTGGTGCATGCCTATAATCCCAGCACTTGAAAGGCTGAGGCAGGAGGATTACTATGAGTTTGAAACCAGGCTGGGTTATAACATGAGCTCAAGGCCAGCCTGAACTTTACATAGTAAGACCCTATCATAAAAAGACCAAACAAATTTTTTTTCATTTTATCTGAAATAATTGTTCTATGTTTTGATTTTATATATGGAGGGGGAAAGGAATCAAACTCAGCACCCTGTGCTTGCCAGACAGGAGCTTGTGCCGCTAAGCTATATTCCCAGCATGTTTTTTCACTGTTTTTTTTTTTAACTAAGGGTCTTCAATTTCATTATTGAAGATATGAACACATGTAAAGTGTTATTCTGCATAATGGTAATTAGTAAACAGCCACACACAACTGTCCATTTCCTATTTAGATAAATATACAATAAACAGGGAGGGAAACAAAGGAGAAGGAAGGGGAAAAGGAAAGAAGGGGAGGAAAACAAGAAAAGAGCTTTTATAAATGAGGGGAGGAGGAATTGAGAGGGTAGGGGATGGGACCCAAAAAAATCAAATTATATAATTTACAGATACGAATTCTCTATGATAAATGTGTTACGTATATCTAAAATGTACCAATAAAATCTGACTGCAAGAAAACCAAATATACAGTAAAACTGGTTTACTTCATTTTCGGAGTTTAAAGCATACCATTAACAAATACTACAGATTAAAGCAACTCACAATGAACTAATGATTAAATCCAATGACTGTGAGTTCTAGGGAACTAGGACAAAAAAACAACTCAACAAACTGAACCCATGCTTTGTTTCTTAAGACATGTTATCTAGAACATGCTTACACAAATTATCTTCCAACCTTAAGTCTCCTGAATAGCTGGGATTATAGCTTTCTTTTGAAATTCAAATTCAATTACCAGCACAAGAAAATCTGAAGAGTATTATTCGAGTTTTAAGATTTTAATAATATGAAAGGTAATACTAATGATCTGAAAAACCAATTATACTCCAGAGAAACTGTATTTTATTATTTGCATATAAAAAAGATTGGAAAGACAGTAAAAACAATAAGCAGTAACTGCAACTATTATTAAATAAATGTCCAGCCCACTTTTAATATAGATAAGACATTTCCAACTCACTGCCCTTTTTATCTGTAACAAGAGACAGAGAAGGAAGAGATATGGGAATGAGACCTAGTACAGGGGCTAATAACAGCTATAAACAATATCTACTATAAAGCAGACTGACATCATAAAATCTGCTTTACAAAGGAAGAAAATATCTAATTCTGTCTGAAAGTAGGATAAAGGCTATATAAAACAAGGGCCATGGTAATCATAATTAGTACAGGTAGAATTTCAATGGGGAGTTTGGATGTGCAGTAAGTATCTGAAATATATATAAAACACAAAGGAAATTTGTGTGAAAAGATACATGGGGCACTATATGAAAGGAGAAGGGAAAAGGAAGCCATGTAGTCTGGAAAAACATTGAACCAAAATGTCAACAGTGGTTATTTGTGATGATGGGTATTATTTCTTTTCATACTATAATTCCATTTTTTGAGATTTTTTTTTTTTAAAGAAAAAACATACAATGTGGGTATAAAGGAGGGGACAAGAAGCTATTTTTATTTGAAAAATAATGAAGCCTTGAATTCAAAAGGCTATTTGGGTTTGTTTTTCTTGAGAGAAAGACAATACATAAATTTTCAGATTTGTTTTGCATAAAGTGCCTATTATAAACTAAGAAGGAAAAGTGAGGCACTATGTATTTAAACTATTTTGCTTTGGTAATAACACAACACATAAAAATTTCCTTTATCTTCACTTAAGATAGCCTAAATAAAGCCACCCAGGTGAGTAATGTAATACTTATTATTTTCTTTATAGTCTCTGTACTTCTAAATGAAAAAGCAACTGATAAAATTACGGAGCCAGGGACATAGCTCAGTGGTTGCAGCACCTGCCTGGCAAACTCAAACTCCTGAATTCAATTCCTGCTATCCACACATACACACAAAGGGATTCTGGGCTGGGGACATGGCTCAGTGGTAGAGTTCTTGCCTTATATACTCAAGGACCTGGGTTCCCCAGCACACCAAAAAAAAAAAGCCAGGACCATAGTTCAGCAGCCTAGCACCTGCCTGGCAAGTACAAGGTCATGAGTTCAATTCCTAACCCCCCCCCCCAAAATTAAAATTGTACAGGTTGAGGGGCTGGAGGTTTAGCTCAGCGGCATAAGCGCCTGCCTTGTAAGCAGGCAGTTGTGAGTTCGATCCCCGGTACCGATAAAAAGGAAAAAGACAAAAAAAAAAAGCTGAAGTCTAAAATTGTACAGGTTGAAATATATTTTGTACTTAAAGACAAAGTTGTCTTAATGAATTAGTTCTGTTTGGAATAGGCTGTACCAGTGTTTTCCCTGGCAAGTTAACTTTGTCCAGTATCCCAACCTCCAACATTCATCTACCTATTGTAGGTAGATAAAAGACTTAAAATAACTACAAACTAAAATATCAGCCTACATTTAAGCCACAGCACATTTTAAAGAGATGATGATCTCGTCAAATTTCACATTAGACTTGTTTATAGGGGAAAGTATTTACACTAAAGTAGCACAAATGGATCAGAAAACATACCCCATTAGAAGCTTTCTTCTTTGCTTTCCATTCATCCAGCTGTGCCTTTGTTTTGGCATCAACTTTCACAAGTAGCTTCTTCTCTCCAATCTGAAGGTCATGTAATAATCTGAGTGCACGGAGGGTAGACTCAGGCTCCTTATACTCACAGAATCCAAAAGCTATTAACAAATGCAAAGAATTAGTGAATATCAATACAACTATAAGATGAAGAAACAGTATGGAAAAACAAAAAGATATGACAGGAAAAGCTTAAATAAGTATCTTTTAGTCTTCAATTTAGTGTGTATTAGTAAGCCTAAAAATCGAATACTAAGCTAATTACAATGAGTATATCTAGTTTTTTAGATTGATATTTTGAAAAGAATTTCCCACTAAAAGAAACCAGAGCTCCTGAGAAATGGCTGATTCCAACCCTGAACCAAGGAAGACTAGATAATCTTCAAATGAGGACTGTATTTAAAAAAAATCACTGGATAAGGCAGGGTGTGGTAGCACACATCTGTAATCCCAGCACTCAGGAGGCTGAGGCAGGATGATTGTTGCTAGCTCAAGACCCACCTGGTCTACAAAGTGAGCTCAAAACCAGCCTGAATTCCATTGTGAGACCCCGTCTCAAAACAAAACAAAACAAACCACTGGGTACCCAACTCACAGAGGTAACTTCAATCAACCTAAGCTTTAAAGTGATGACAACTACAGTGATTCCATACTAAACACAAGAACATTAAATATTCAATTCTAAACTAAAAATGGTTGGAAAAAGCAAAACAAAACATCAGTCAATGCTAGAAAATGCTGAAGACACCAGACGATTTTCCCCAGAAACAAACATTTATCACATTTTGCCTATACCAAAATAGATAAATGTCTATAGGAAATAGATAAATAGAAGATTTCTTCTTATAAAGCACTCTACTGATAAATGAAGACTGCTTCAATGAACCAGTGACAGAATTCATACAGCATTGCATTTTGCAACCAACAAAGGAGTGAAATGAATGAAGGAATTGACAATCAAAAGCTTTCGGTATTAATAAAAAAAATAACCTGATGTTTCCCCTCTAGGAAAAATACTGCTTCTATCTTTTTTTTTTTTTTTTTTTTTTTTGTCTTTTTTGTTTTTATCAGTACCGGGTATCCAACTCATGACTGCCTGCTTACAAGGCAGGCGCTTATGCCGCTGAGCTAAATCCCCAGCCCCTTTTATAATATTCTTAAAAAACAGGTATTTTAGGGGCTGGGGATTTAACTCAGTGGCAGAAGTGCCTGCCTGGCAAGCATAACGAGGTCGTGAGCTTAATCCTTGGTACCAAAAATAAAAAGTTATTAAAGAAATAACATACAAAGATTTGAATCTAATCAGGTCTCAAGATATAATACTAAGTAAGCAGTTTACAGATAATACAGAGGAAGTCTTCAGAGCAAATTATATTATTGGATAAACAGTTACAAAATATCAACAGACTCTTAAAAAGGGGCAACTAGCTGCAATGTGCAGACCTCACACAGATCCTGAAATAAGTAACATTTTAAAAGTTAACATTTGAGGGGCTGGGGATGTAGCTCAACAGCATAAGCGCCTGCCTTGCAAGTGTGTGGTCGTGAGTCCGATCCTCAATACCAATAAAAAAGAAAAAGACCAAAAAAAAAGTTAACATTTGAAGCTAGATATGCTATTGTAAGCCTGCAATCTCAGTTACTCAGCAGGAAGGATGCATATTCCAGAGCAGTGTAGGTAACATGCCAAATCCAAACTCAAAAAGAAAAACAGCCAAGGATATAGTTCAATGTTAGAGCACTTGTCTAGCATGCATGAGAACCTTGCTTCAATTCCCAAAACCTTCTGTTCCCTGACTCCCACATTTGAGACAAGTATTTGCACTGAATATTTAATATTATAATTAATTTTGGGGGGGTTTTTTCTGTTTCTTTGGTTTTGGGAGGATTTACGTTTTTATTTTGAAACAGGGTCTCACTATATACACCAGGGTCTTACTATCCACCAACTAGTCCAGGTTGACCTGAAAATCAAGTGCTGGGGACTATAGGCATAACCCACCATGCCTGACTACTTTTAAGGTCTTACAGTATTATTTTATCCAACAGGTGTTTCTGCCAGTTCAGTATGAGACGTACAGTTCTCTTTTAAGAGTAAAGGTCACCTGATGAATTTTTTTCCCTAAGTTCTAATTGTTGCAACTCATTTTTGGTAGTAGTCATAGTGAACATTGATTCTAGGGCAATGCATATGCTAAAATTAACTCTACCACTGAGCTACACCATTACCCCTAATTCTTTCATCAATACACAGTATTGTTTTCCAGACAAAAAGGATGGCAAACTAGTTATGCTGAATTCTGTTAAATTTGTTCTCTTTTAACTCCATCCTAGTCTACTTTGTCAACAATTGACCTCGAATCTCAGTCAACAGTTTCTTGATTGCCCTTCTAAGAAAAAGACAAAGAAAGTAAAACAGTGATTTGTACAACAGATAAAAGTGATCTAAATAAAGAAAAAATATCTTACCTTGAAGTTTTCCAGAAGCACCTTGTACTCTCTTCCAGCTCAAAACCAAACCACATTTCTTAAAAAGAAAAAAAAAAAAAGAAAAAAATGTAATTTTGATGCAAATATGAGCACAATCCTTAGGGGGTAAAAAAACCGTAGAAGGAAAATATAAAAGCATATCAGCAACTAAGTTTCTTAAAATTATCTCAACTCCCACATTTATTACAAGAAATGTATAAGAAATTTTAAGAAAAATACAAGTTCTGATTAAGAAAATTTTCTATATTTTCAAAATTAGAAATTCTATGACTTCACTCATCCTACCAAATTTAGACAGATGGATGGGAAGGTAGAAGGATGGAAAGATGAAAGGAAAGGAGAAAGGAATGGACAAACAAACCTACTCACTCAAGTGCCTGACTTGGTCAAATGTGCATAAAATGATTAAATCCAAATAAACTGAGTCCATTATTACTGTTTTAAAACTGCATTATATGTAATAGCACAGGAAGCTGGGAATTAGCTCAGCAGCACAAGTGCCTGCCTGGCAAGCACAATGTTGGGAGTTCGATCCCCAATACAAACAAAAAGAAAAAAGAAAAAGGAAGTATGTTGTAATAGCACAGGAAAATGTTTGATATTATATACAAAAATAGCTTCAGACAAGAAACTGCTAATACACAGGGAGATTTTTAAACATAAAGAAAAACACTGTGTAAAATACCAATCAGAAATATCCCAAACGATGCAGAAGTACAGCTCTATGGAAAAGTCTAAGATAGTATATGGATCAAATTCCTGATACTCTTCAAAAATAGAAAGAACTCCAAAATGTAAAGGGTAGGGAAGGGTATAGGAAAAGAAAGGGGGAGAAAAAAATAGAAGCCAAGCTTTTGTAAATAAGGAGAAAAGAGAGGCTGCAGGGAGAAAGGGGGAATGGAAAAGAAAAGCAGCAGCAAAAAGGGCCAGAGACATAGCTCAGTGGTGTAAGGCCCCTACCTGGCAAGTTGGATTCCTGGTAACTAACCCCCCACAATAAAAAAGAATACTCTAAAAGAAGCAGCAAGATACATCATGTACAGGTACAAATTTCCTATGGTAAATGTTACCATTATGTATGTCTAAAATGTACCAATGTAATTAACTTTTAGAAAGCCAAAATATATGCATAAACATTACCAAAAAAATGTAAAGAGGGCAGGTTATTTGAAGTGTTTCTGTAATGCACCTTGAAAGAAAAAACTTTTGTAAATAAGAATTAAAAGAATAACTGAAAGGGAGTGGAACAGGAAAAATAAAAAAAACAAGACTATCATATTTGTCTCCTTCCTCACAGTTGTGCCAAGGGACCTCGCAGCATGCAACTCCTCCACTCTGATCCAAACTACAATCTGTGGCAGAAGCACAGTTCAACATCCTCCCAACCACTGACCCCTATGAGGTCACACTATAAACAATATCCACCTACCACAAGCAAAGTTTATTCCTCCTTTGAATGCTGTGAAAAGAACACAAAAAACTTCAAAGGAAGGTGAAATAAGAGACACTATGTTATGGAGTGTTGGACATTGTTAGTAAATACTTAAAGGGTAATGTTGTGACCAAAGAGATACGCAAAGAACGTATCCAGAACAAGGTCTTTAATGAAAAGGGATGGAACTACATTCTTGAGAAGTATGATGGTACTCTCACTACTGAAGTAAAGCCAGTGCCAGGAATGGTGGCACACACCTGCAGTCCCAGCACTCTGGAGGCTGAGACAGGCAGACTGTCAGAAATTCAAGGTAAGCCTGGGCTAAATAGTGAGTTCAAGACCAGTGTGAACTATCCATATATAGTGAGATCCAGTGTCAGACAGAAAGACAGACTGACAGACAGACAGACACAGAGAGACAGACAGAGACAGACATGGAGGGAGGGAGAAAAGTAATACAGGCCACTCCTGAGGCCTGTCATCCCCAGAGGAAATGTTCTCTTCACAGTGGAAAGCACATACCCACAGTACTACTGGATTACAAATTAGACTGAGACTCGTTCAATCCTGGTATCCAGTCACAGTAGCCACAAATTCTAGAGAGCAGAAAAAAATACTGGCCAAATATTTGATAGAAAGTTCTGGCAACTAAGTCTGGAACACAATATACAATTCTGGCTACAGAGGACTCTTCCCAAGAGACTGCTAGCATAAGGGCATCTGCTCATTTGGTTAACTTCAAAAAATATACAATACTGGGAATTGCTCTAATTAAAAAAACTATGGCATGAAAGATCCTATTCCAGGTTATTTTGTCACAGCAACAGAACACAGCAGGCTAACAATTTGAGAGAAAGACTATGAGAAAATGCTTCTGAACAATGCTTCCACCAGTGCCTATATCTGTCATCAGCATTAGTTATGCACATGACAAAATTTGAGGTGAAGATCTAAGATAGTTAATAAAGTCAAGTACAGAGGCACCACTAACAGTCAAACATGGTTCTGGAAATCCTCTTGATACTGTTTTAAAAGATTTACATATATACTTTAGGTAAAAAGTTTCCTATTACTGCCGGGCATGGTGGCTCATGCCTGTAATCCCAGCACTGGGGAGGCTGAGGCAGGAGGATCATTGCGAGTTCAAGACCAGCCTAGGCTACAAAGCAAGCTCAAGGCCAGCCTGAACTGCATATCGAGACCCTGTCAAAAAGACAAAAAAGTTTCCTGTTACTGAGAACTCAAAAGAATCTAAGTTGTTGCCATATTATCATAGGAGTTATTGAAGGGGATTAAAATCTTGCAAGAGGTTATAGAAAGCATAAAACAAAAAGTTCAAGCACTGAAAATGCTTTCTGACCAGATGTGGTGGTGTACACCTGTAATTCCAGCACTTTGGAGGCTGAGACAAGATGATCACTTGAGTGCAAGACCAGCCTGCACTACACAGTGAGTTCAAGGGAGACTTCCTCTTTAAAAAACAGTAAGGCTGTCTCCAAAAAAAAAAGTTTCGTAAATTCTGTTGAAATTTTGTCACAGAACTTAACCAGAAATCTCAAACTATTTCTTAAAGTGCAGCTATATTGTCACCAATGGCTTTGAGATTAATGTCTTCAAGGACTCGATTGCTGATCCCAACAAAAGATCCAAAAGGGCCAGTTATCTTTACATAATGGCAAGGAAGTTTACTACACTTGAGGAAGGAAAACGAGATCTTGAGGAATATGGCCAGAATTTTCTCTATACTACCTTCAAGAATGGGAAGGTGAACTAATGTACAGCTGAATACAGAGCTGGAAGTAAGGCCTCATTAGGCTCTGTTGTCTGAGTGTATGCATGAAAGTATGCAATGCACAATATTTACCATGCAGATGTATGGAACTTGTTTTATGATACATTACAATCAAATTATTTGTTGGTTTATGGATACACTGCCAGTTTTCTTTACTTTCCAGTATTTAGATCATTGCAAATTAGGCAACATACATAATCATTGTGAAAGATTAAGGCTAAAGTAAGCTTTTTAGGGTTCTTTGTTCACAGTAACCCAATCTGATACCGAGTTTTTTTGTTTGTTTGTTTGGTTGGTTGGTTTTTTTTTGGTATCAGGAATCAAACTCAGAACCTTGCACTTGCCAGAGAAGGGCCTGGGCCACAGTATTGATCTTTTCTCAAATAACAAAACCAAAAAGCCATTATATAACAAAAGTAAAAGATCTGCATAAAATTATCATTATTGCTTTATTTTAATATAACATTTTAACTACAATCAATATAATGTATTTAAAAATACATAATTTTTTTTACAAACAAGTTTAAGGTATACAGTTTCAGTGATTTAAGACTATCCAATTTTTCAAGATTTTTATGAGCACATTCAAAAAAATACTTGAAAATAAATCAAACTGCCTTTTGTCCATTAATCAGGACATAAAACACGGCCTTAACAAAGTTGTTTGTGTTATGGTACAAGCTGAAATTACATCAGGACACACCCAAAAGAATTACTAACCTTACTGCCTCTTGTTGAACATGTATTAATTATTCTACACCTAAGAAAATAAAGGTTCCTACTGGAATATACAGTTACATACAGTTATATACCGGTACAGGTACATACCTTGGCCACTGTACTGTATCACTGACATGACACATTTGAAAGGCTTGTACTACCGTTTTATGTCAGATATTGCCTGTGGCTCTCATATGTACCTCACAACCTTAAGATACTGTATTTAGAGAGAAATTCTGCTTCTACTATGAAATATATACATATATGTAAAATACAATCAAAAGTGGAAGTAGCATATTTTAAAGTAATTATACTTCAGAATTTATTTTTCATATTCTTTAGTTAGTATGATTTAATTAGCTGGAGAGGGCAGTGAGTACACTTAAATGTTTTCATTCTATTTTTCATTAAGTTTTTTAAAAAATTAAATGGGATATTACATTATGTACAGGTACAAATTCCCTATGATGAATGTGATTATTACATATTTTAAAAAGTATACCAACAGAATTTCAAAAAAAAAAGAAAAACTACAAAGTTAAAAAAGATGCTATCTGTGCTGGGCATGGTGGCATAAGTGCCTATAATCCCAGCATTCAGGAGGTTGAGGCAGGAGGATCATGGCAAGTTCTAGACCAGCCTAGACTACAAAGCGAGCTCAAGGCCAACCTCTACTGCATAGTGAGACCCCCATCTCAAAAAGACCAAAACATTTAAAAAAAAAAAAAATATGCTATTTGTGAAACCAGTATAAAGATTACTTACCAAAGGTAAGCATACATTTTTCACATCTTCCTTCAGAGAAACCAATAAAATGATAATCGACAAATAATCAACCTTTAAGATCAAATAAATGAGCAAATAGCAACAGGGGCGTTTTCAATAAAATGTTGAAAGTACAAAATGCAGATGGATTTTAACTTCTTTAGAAAAAGCAAAGCATTCTATACCTGCAAGAGTAAAAAAACCAATACAGAGGAGAACAAACTTAATATATCCTGCAAAGTGAGCTGTATCTGGGCCGGAGTAATAGGTACAGAAGAGAAAGAAGCTTGAGACTAAATCTTAACAAACATGCTCAGTGACTTTATGAAGTAATTTGAGGCTCACATAATTAACAATTCTGAGAAAGCATGGTACATGACTTAGTTCTACCACTATCAGTGATATTAATTATAACACTGATTATTTTATTATATTGCGATACTTGCATTAAAGAGCCAGATGTGGTGGTAAAGCGCCAGGCATGGTGGTGCATGCCTGTAATCCCAGTACTTGGGAAGCTGAAGGCAGGGAGATCGTTAAAAGTCTGCAACCAGCCTGGGCTACAAGGTGTGCTCAAGGCCAGCCTGAACTACATAGCAAAACCTTGTTTCAAAAAGAAAAAAAAAAAAAAAATTAAATTAAAAATCTCGGTAAAGCCGGGGATTTATTAGCTCAGCGGCGTAAGCGCTCACTTGGCAAGCATGAGGATGTGAGTTCGATCCCCAGTACAAAAAATAAAAAATAAAAACGCAGTAAAGACACGGAGCGTGGGCCAGCAATATGGCTCAGCAGCCTAAGTACCTGGCCTGGCAAGCCCCAGGTCGTAAATTCAATCCCCTGTACCAAAAAAAAAGAAGAAGACATGGAAGCATGCGAATGTGTTAGGTTTTGTCTACCAAACCAGTAAGTCAATAAACTAAACCAAAAGAAATAAAGAAAGGGTAGACCAGAAGCCAGGTATCATGACACATGCCTATAATCTAAGTTTACTGGGAGCCTAAAGCAAGACCAACAAAATTCCAGGTTGGACAATTTGGAAAAACTCTTGTTTCAAAAAAATAAAAATTACCAGTGACTCCTGAGGTCTGCACTATGTTGAAACTTAGGGTGCTAGGAAACCAAGCAACCAGCTTGCCTCCCTGCTAAGTGGCTATAGTGTGGGAGGCTTCAGCCACCCCAGGGGGAGAACCACCAGCGACTCCTGAGATCCACATCATGGTGGAACTTAGGATGCTGGGAAACCAAGCAACTACCTCACCTCCTGCTAAGTGGTAGTGAGCCTATGGGCGCATGGGCTGAGAACCAAACATCCAACTGCCCGCCCCACCTTAGCAAACAGGAACCAGAGATCTGAGCATCTCTTGGGAGGTTGACCATATGCAATATAGCAAATAAGGGGGATTTCCTTCTACCATTTGTTTGAAGGCAAATATTTTTACCACTGTTTTGCTTTATTCTGATTAATGGTATTGCTCTATTCAATATTCTGTTTTGGTAAGTTCTATAATGTTCTATATTTCATTTTATTTTGCTATACCTGATTGAAAGAACAACTATTGTGAAGATAATGAGATATACTGTGGTACCTATAACAGTACTGTGGTACTGTTATCCCGGTAATCTACTGTGAAGTTCTGAACCAATTTCACTACACTGTCTAAACTGGCTTTGTTCTGTCATCTTCTTTTGTATTTTACTACTTCCAAAATAATAAAAAATTAAAATAAATAAAAATTTTTTAAAAATTAAAAAGGGTTGGGGACATCTGATAGGTAGAGAACCCCTAGGTTTGAGTCCCCAGTACTTGGGGTGGCACAACCCAAAATAAAAATAGAAATCAAAACAAGAATGAAAGGCCTACGAGTGACTGAATTATACTACCCCTCAAAAAAAGTATCTTGAAAAAAATGAATATACTTACAGCTAACAGCTGTCGTATGAGCATGTCTGAGGCTTTCTCGGAAATGTTCCCAACAAAAACTGTAGTAGTAGGGCCACAATTTTCATCATTTTCTTTAGCCTTTAGGCCTGGATGATCCTTTCTTGCTCCCAAATGCTTTCCAACCATGGACACAGTGGGCACTAGGACCTGAGATAAAGATAATAAAATTTTGTCTGACAATTTCCCATGACATTTAACACAATATAAAGTTTTTAAAAAATCACATTAATTAAAAAAATACTGATTTTTAAGACAGCAAATATCAATTTTAAGACAATAAATACAAGGTGTGCTCAAACTATAAAGTGAATGTTTACATTTTTGAAATTTATTATAGTAAAAGACACATTGTCATTAATCACCCTCAAAATTCTCCCTGCTCATTTTAAACACTTCTCCCATTGTTCTTATCACTTTCTGAAACTGTACTAGAAGTTCTCTCTCGTGTCTTATGTGATATGATTTAAAAAAAAAAAAAAAAAACACTGTTATATGTTACTGCCAAATGACATCCAATGAAAAGACAAGCTTAAATGAACATTATGGCACATCCTCCCCTATCGTATGCAATGGGCTTACTGCTGTGCCACTTCTGGCTCTTCCCCAAAGTCAAAGTGACCATGAAAGGTAAAGGTTTAAGAATAAATTTAGGGCATTGAGGCCACAACAAAAAAACAACTAAAGAATTCATGAATACATTTCCAGAACTGTTTTTAGAAAGTGGCAAAAATGATAGGCTAAGTGTGTTCTATGCAAAAGTGTTTGTTAGGGAGATTAACGTTAATGTTTCTTCTACTATAATAAATTACTCTTAAACTCTCACGGTATTTTTAGATCACATCTCATATAGCACATTATTAAAGTCTCTCTTTAATGCTCTTAAAGCAAATGGCACATTTCATGAATGCAAATTTATTCAGACAAGTTTCTACTACTACACTGTCTTTGCAAAAAGTGAAAAAAGGTAATAAAAGCTAAGTTTTTAAGACAAAAGTTTTAAATGTTTAAAACATCAAAAATTACTAAAAACTTTTTTAAAATCTTAGTTTTTTTACAACTGTCAGTGTCTATTAAGCAAATTCCCATTATTCCTGCTAAACTTCTATAACAAAATACTCAAATTCCACACACCACTCTCCTAAACTTTATCTTTTTTAGTCTGAAATAGGAAGAAGAGTATGTGCCATATGTACTCTTTCTAAAATTGTCAAACCATGAACATACAGTTCAGGAAAAGTTATACTCCCTTTGATCTGAAATCCAAAGCTTCTCAGTGGTATACCTCACAGATTCCCATTTGCTCACACAGTGCCTCTCTCACTTACACTATGGATAACAGTCTCTCCTTTTTCAAAACCCACATTTTTAAAAACAGTTGAAAGAGGAGACAGGCATGGAGGCACATGCTTGTAACTCCAGTACTTGGTAGGTTAATGCAGGAGAATCCCTGAGATTTTGAAGCCAGCATGGACTACAGAGCAAGAACCTGTGTCAAAAACCAACCATCACCACAACAAAAAACAAAACAGTTCAAAGTAATAAAATCAATTCTCCTTCACAACAGTGTTCAAAACAAACCCTGATTCACCAATTAACTTAAATTCTACTTAAATGTACGAGGATTTTTATGTGTAACAGTATATAAACATTCTTAATTGTTTGGAAGTTTTGATGAAAGTAATAAATTCAAGACACAAGAATGAATTAAGTACTTAAAAAAAAGGCTTATAAAATTTCAAGATATGATAGGAAAACAAAAAAAGGTAAAAAGTTTGAAAAGCGCTGAAGAGCTGGGTGTGGTAGTACAGTCTGTTTTCCCAGCACTTAATGCCACCTTGTGCTAGTGAGACCCCCTGTCTCAAAACCAACAAAAGAGAAAAGGGCTACATAGGTGATCATACAGGCTAACTGTGCTGGTACACACCTATAATTCCAGCATCCTGGGAGGCTGAGGCAAAAGGATTACAAATTTGAACCCAGCAAGATCCTGTTTAGGAAAGAAAAAAAAGGAGGAGGGGGGAGCTGGGGAAGAAATCTAAATTCTTTCTTTAGTACAAGAAAAAAAAAAAAAAAAATCAGATAAACTCATTGCCTTAACTCCCAGGATCAAGATGAAATGAGGAAATTATAAAAGAGCTAACATAAGGGGCTGAGGATTTAGCTCAGCGGCATAAGTGCCTGCCTTACAAGCAGGCAGTCCTGAGTTCAATCCCTGGTATCGATAAAAACAAAAAAGACAAAAAAAAAAAAAAAAGAGTTAACATATTACATATACAATAACAACTATAGAATCTAGTAAGGATAAAAGGAAGGGAAAATCATAAAACTATTTTGGGGACATATCTTAAGATAACTGCATATATGAACAGTTGAGTTAAAAAAATTAAGCAACAGAATATTTTTGAATACTCTTTGTTAATGTTTTAAGTACTTATAAATAATATCCTAAATCTTACAAATAACTTATCCAAGTTTACTATGTTTTTTAGCTTTAAAAGCACTACTAATTACCGTAACTCCAAATTCCTCCTTTAAATTATACTTACAGTTGGAGCAGGAGCCATAATGCTCATTGGTACAGGGATCATTGGAGTCCCTAGGGAACAAAAAAAGGAAAGTGTGGCTTAAGAACACTGCATCACTGAGGCAGTCGGATCACTGCCAGTTCAAGGCCGGCATGGGCTACATAGTGAGTTCAAGACCAGTCTGAACTGGATAGTGAGATGCTCTCTCAAAAAAAAAATTTTTTTTAACTGTATAATTACACTCTAAACCACATGGATTATAGGTCTCTTCACCAACACTAAATATAAGTGAAATATAGGATTAACCAGTTAACACTTTACCTTGAAAGCATCACCCAGTGTTGTGTTTATGTAGTTACTACCTTGGTTGTGGCTCAGGTAGGTGTCATTTCGATCAATATTTTTTTCCCCTTTTTGAGATAGGTGTCAATAAACTCCTCAAGGTGCAGTTTAGGCTGACCTTGAACTCACTGCATAGCCCATGCTGACCCTGAAGGCCCAGTGATCAATGATCCTCCAGCCTCAGTCTCCCAAATGCTGGGATTACAGGGGTGAACCACCACACCCAGCCAACCAGTTGATTCTTGTATGGAACAAATTTGATTAAATTGTTATTTTTTGTTTCCTGTTATAAAAATTTTAAAGATACAGCTGTCATTTTGTATTTAAATAATTTGAGCAACCCACTTGGGAACCCTTATGTCTCTCAGACAGAAGCTTTCTTTCAATAAATATACTCTGCTCTTAAAATAACTAAATAATTGGGAATTATGAAAATGAATCCAATGAGTGAGTCGAATGAGTCTTATGAATGAATAATATTTTTCTTAAAAATATTATCAGTCTATCAATTTAAACTATTGTAGCAGGGTGTGGTGGCACATGCCTGTAATCCCAGCTAAGGCAGGCTGGGAGGCTAATGCAGGAGGATTGCTGCCAGTTCAAGACCAGCCTGGGGTACAAAGTGACTCTGAGGCCAGTCTGAACTGCACAGTGAAACCCTATCTCAAAAAGAAAAAACAGGGGTTGGGGATTTAGCTCAGCAGCATAAGCACCTGCCTTGTAAGCAGGCAGTCGTGAGTTCGATCTCCGGGACGGATAGAGTAGTTTTCAAACTACTCTAAGAGAAATGACTGGAACAATTATTTCTAAGATGACAGTATGTAATTTATCAACTAGTGATTTCTTACTGTTTATTTATTTATGTATTTATTTTGTCTTTTTTGAGATGAGGTCTCGCTATGCAGTTAAGTAGCCCAGGCTGGTCTCAAACTCTCAAGGATCTTCCCACCTCAGCCTCATTACAGGCGTGAGCTACCACGCCTGGCTCTGTTTATTTATTTTGAAATTCTGTATTACTTCTACCCGTTTTTTTCTGTTTTGCTTTTTTTCTCTCTAAATAAAATTTTTTTTAAATGATTGTCATAGTACACTTTTATTTAAGGAATACAAAGTTCCTAAATACTAATTCATGCTCATCTGGTTCTCTGTTCCTTAAAATAAGCACTTTCACAAACACTTTGGTTATGGGTGAACAATGGTGCCAATGCAACTTTTAAAATTAAAAACAGAATTGAAAATAGTAACGTTTAAAATACAAAAACACACTGTACAACATTGTGCTGCACACCTATAATCCCAGCACTCAGAAAAGGTAAAGCGTGAGGATGGAAAGTTTGAGCCAAACTTGGGCAACTTACTGAGACCCAGTCTCAAAACAAATAAAAAGAAACAGCACATTAACCATGGTAGAACTCCTTATTCAGCAGTTTTATATTTCTTTTTTAGTTTTATGTGTCTATAGGAAAAAATTTAGTTCTGTCCTGCTTTGTTCTGTTTCGGATAGAAATACATGTTAAGACTCATGCTTGCATAAAACCTATAAACAGTTTATGAGAACTGATCTTATGACACATGATGAAATGAACAAATACTATGAAGGAAAGAAAGGGGCACTGCAGTACCTACTGCTGATTTTGGAGTGTCATGATGTGAAATCCAGCAATATTATTAATCTTTGTTCAGAAGGATTTTAATCTAATAAGTTTTGTTAGGTCTCAACATAAATGAAGATATGGATAAATGCATGTCTAAATGTATAGGATTGATACTCATATTACTTAGTTCTTGTTAGATAGTTGAACAGAATGGTTTGCAGTCTCCCTGATTGAATTCCCATTTATATGTTTCACTTTTGTATCTTAACTACTTGTGGGGGGACAATATGTATACATCAACTAGTGATTTATTACTGTTTATTCCTTTTCTTTGAATGTATGCACTATTTCTGGCCGTTTTCTATTGTTTTATCTTTCCTTAATAATAATAAAAAAAAAAATAACAATAGCCAGGCATGGTGGCACATGCCTGTAATCCCAGCACTTGGGAGGCTGAAGCAGGAGGCTCATTTAGAGTTCAAGGCCAACCTAGGCTACAAAGTGAGCTCAAGGCCAGCCTGAACTGCATACTGAGACCCTGTCTCAAAAAGACCAAAAGAAAAAAAAAAGCCTGGGGATGTAGCTCAGTGCAAAAACCTTAGGTTAAAATACCCAGAACAGCAAAAGTTAAAAAAAAAACAAAAACAAACAAACAAACAAACAAAAAAAACCCCATGTTATAAAACATGATAACCACAGTCAAAAATACAGTAATCGTAAAAATTGCTAGGATGGTGCTGGGGATTTAGTTCAGCGGCACAAGCACCTGCCTGACAAACACGAGGTCGAGTTTGATCTCCAGTACCCCCCCCCAAAAAAACTGCTGGGAGACTTGTATTCTTAAAACAGTGTTAAGTTACCTCAATTTAGTCACACTACAGTGCATATAATTTCAAAATATGTACTTGCTATATGTAATTTTGTTAAATATGTAAAAACAAGATCTCCGAAAATAAAAACAAGCCAGGTGTGGCGGTACAAGCCTGTAATTTCAGCACTTGGGAGACTGTGTCAATAGGATTGCTACAAACTGAAGGCCAGCCAGCATTGAACAGTGAGTTCAAGGCCTATCTGAACTATATGAGATTCTGTCTCAAAAACAAACAAAAAAGCTATTGAATGAGAAATTAATCTAGAAATCTTATTATCTGTGGTTCTTTCAAGAAAATGAAAATCATGCCAGGCTTGGCAGTACATGACTATAATTCCAGCTATCTAGGAGGATATGGAAAGGACTCCAAGCTCAAGCTCAAACTCAGCTTAGGCAAGTGAGTGAGAAAGTATCTCAAAATAAAATTTGAAAAAAAGGCTGTGGATATAGGCTCAGTAATATATCACCTGCCTAGTAATATGGAAGACCCCAATACAATGAAATAGAATGGAAAGGAAAGGAACTCAAAAAATGGTATCAGTAATTTCAGCCACTGTTACAGAAAACTAATCTCTGAAGCAGGTATCTGTAGGTCTGAAAAAATTAATATGGAAGTTCAAGAGCTGTCAATGGCCTACCTACTATTGACAATGTTGAGATACCTGCTTTCAAGGACACCATATGCTAATCAATAGTTGCTATATTAAGAGTCCACTTAAAGAGGCTGGGGATTTAGCTCAGCGGCATAAGCACCTGCCTTGCAAGCAGGCAGTCATGAGTTCACGCCCTAGTATTGATTAAAAAAAAAAAAAAAAAAAAAAGAGTCCACTTAAAACACCTGAAATGTCAAACTGAAACCACGCTTCTGTTCAGATTTAATATTAATTTGAAACAGTTCTTCATCTAAAACTAGTCATAAATTCTTAAACATTTAACATTATCACTTTATTTTTCAATAATTTATTTAAAACAATATCAGGACTCGGGATGCTGAGCAAAGTGGGAGGATCACTAGTTTGAGGTCAGCCTGGGCCACATCATGAGAAAGGACTCAAGAACTTGTTACTCGTTATTTTGTGTACCAGTACTCATTCACCAATAAAAGTTTGGACTTTGTCATTCATAAAAACAAATTAAAATAATAAAAAAAAACCAATCTCGGTATCAAAATGACTTTTTACTAAGTATAAATCAAGATTCCTATAAATTAGTCTAGAATAAACTGTGCAGAGATAAAAGACTGTAGAATCAAATTTGGTTTCAGGGGATATAGCTCAGTGGTTCAGCATCCTGAGTTGGATTCCCAGCACCAAAAACCAAACCAAACCAAACCAAACCAAACCAAGCCAAGCCAAATTTGGTTTTAATCACTTTACTTATAAAGTTTTGGGACAACATAATAACCACTGCTTCAGTTTCATCACTCCTATTAAGGCAATTTAGTTCATATTGCCAGTGAAATTGTGATAATTTATATGAATCATTTTAGTAGAATGGATACTCACAATTGTACCTAATTGATTTATATCTAAATTTACCTTAATATTGAAAAAAATTCTTCCATTTACCAACTACAATATATATAAATTGCATCTCTTCTATAGGTAAACTTCCTATTGAAAAAAAAATTCAAAGCCAGTTATGATGTACACATTTGTAATCCTAAAACTTGGGAGCTGAGGCAAGAGGACTGCCATGTGTTAGAGACCAGCCTATGTTACTTGGTTGAAATTCAAAACCATCAAAACAAAACAAAATAAAATGTCAGAAAAACACACAGTACTAAAATCGTTTTCTTTTTATAGAAGCTCAAAGTTCGTTTCCTCTCCCAATTTCATTTCCTGAAACCACTTCTTTTTAACTGAAGCAAGAGATTTGACCCAAAGCCTGGACATCCTAAGCACATCTTCTACTACTAAACTGTATCACCAGCTAATTTCTTAAAGTTCAGAATGCACACTGAAAAATGTAGTGTCATTCATACTAAAATCAATGCATGCTAAAAAGAAAAAGAAAAAGGCATAAAATAGTATGTTACCATTTTAGTTTTTAACACAATGAAATGGGGAGAAAGCAAACAAACACAGTGGAAAATGTTTACCACATAGAAACTGATAAGGTTGCCTATGGGGAAGGGAACTAATGAACTGTGGATGAAAACTTTTCTACAAACATGTGTTATTTTTAACAGAATAATAATGGCTACTAGTATTCCAAACTTACTTTCTAAAATATAATATTGCTATACACATTACTTATTATA